ATAAAAATGAATTGCTGTTCGTTAGGCTCACTAAAACTCGAGAACGGCTGGACCGATTTGGCTAATTTTGGTCTTGAATTATTTGTGAAAGTTCAGAGAAGGTTTAAAAGGTAGACAATTATGAAAATGCTCGGAATTCAATAAAAATAACAATTTTGTTTTTCCTTTGACGTGTCCCCCGTCGGATAGATAGATACCTTAAGTTTGTTTTAAGTTTATTTTATACAAAAGTTTAGATCTTTCATTTATCGATTGAGGCACTACGAAGTCTGCCGGGTCAGCTAGTTTTTTCATAAATATGGACATAAACTTAAAAGACTAGTAATTATTGAATAAGAGTTCCGTCGCGGTTACAATGTACTGTAATGTAATGAAATGTACGGAGTGAACCACAGAGTGAACACTACCTACGAACGCATGACTCGTGACTGCTTAGAATTCTTTCAACATGGAATGTTTACCAAAAAAATTGAAAACCGTGGTAGCAAGAAAAAGTCAACAACGACGAATTAAAGGCGACTGTCACTGCAGCTGACGAGACTCAATCTACCGTTGGTACAAGGGTACAAGATGCTTAACAGGCACAAAAACGAAAGGTTTTTGAACCACATTGCGACTTGCTTATTTTTGATAATCATAAGCGGTCATCATGGTGGTTAGACCCTGGTTCAGGAGCTAGGGAATGCCCTAAATAAAAACTTATTCTTAAAGAGTCATGGCCATTATTTGGTTTTCTAGTGCGGGTATAATTAATTGTTTACAGCTTCTTACCAAATGGCACCAGTACTACTGTGGATGTGTACTGTGAGGAACTGGACACAATTATGATAAACTCGCGAATCTCTGGCCGCCTTTGTTTAATCGCTCGTCCTTGCTGCTCATACAAGACAATGCACGACTCCATACGGCCCTATGGAAAATTGGAAGTTTTGCGTACCGTATTCACCAAGCTCTGCGCTGACAGACTTCTAGCTTTTCCAAAGCTTGGACAACACTTTGGCAGAGTAAAAATTCAATACCTGAGAGGCAGTACAAATGTATTTGAAGAGTTTCTTGATTCCCGTACACCTGACTCCTTCAAGAAGGGCTTCTTCTTTTGATGTCATCGTAGCCTAAAAACGTAGATAAGACGCCTGGTGCATCCTTATTAGATGATGCGACTGTGCGGGGGTTCGAATCCCACGGCAAAAACCCATTTTTCTAATGAAATACGTACTTATGAAATGTTCAAGATTGACTTCCACGGTAAAGGAACAACATCGTAGAATAAAATCAAACCCGCAAAATTACAATTTGCGTAATTACTGGTGGTAGAACGTCTTGTGAGTCCGTAGGAGTACGTATCACCACCCTGCCTATTTCTGCCATGAAGTAGTAATGCGTTTCGGTTTAAAGGGTGGGCCAGCCGTTATAATGTAAAAACTGAGACCTTAGAACTCATGTCTCAAGGTGGATGGCGGCATATTTACGTTATACATGGGTCCAGTAAAAAAAAAAACACAAAAACATATTACACGAAGAGCCTTCAACGACTTACAGCGTTTGATCAAGTGCCAAGCCGTGGATGGATTGGGCATCGAAACACCTAGATATACCTTTTAGCACAGTTCTTAATAGCCCCTGATAGATGTCAATAGAAGGTACAAATGATATATTATTATGTACTATAATACAGCGGCCGGTTTTATAAGATCATATAGAATAATTCAGATATACTAAAAGTAGCATTAGGTAGAAGAAATGAAAAAATCTAAGTAAACAAATGCAACATAATTTGTTTTAAATAACGTGAGCATTTGAAACTACGTCAAAATTCTAAATATAGACTAGCGGTCTTCAACGATAGATTGACACGTTCAATATTCTCTTTGTTCGAGTTGCCTCAAATATGAGACGACATGCAAAATCGGTTTTGCATTTTGTAACAAAGATAGAATACGTTATTTCTAAAGATAGTACTTTGTTAAATTATACATATATTTCTTTATTTCGTTATCTATACTAATATATGTGGTTTTTACGGATGTTCCGTTATAACTACTGAACCATGCATCCGATTGACTTGAAACTTGGTATCCATGTAGAAAATACATGTACTTAATGGATAGGCTAATATTTATATCAGTGTTGGACTCGCTAAATCAGTTGCGGAGGCGTTAATGATGAGAGTCTTTGTGGGGATCAGAAATAATAATGTTAATTTTAAATGCCCAGCGAAGCGGACGGGTACAGCTATACATATTTCTATACTATTATAACAGTTTTGTTTGACAAATTTAACAATTTTTTTCTTTGAGTTTTAGTCATAGTTTAATTGAAGGTAGTGTCCGTGACGGCCTTCACACTGGAAAATTACTCGCAAACGGTACTGACTGGCGTTTCAATGATTTGATCGCGGGTATGTTATAGCGGAATTAAAATAAATTAAATCACAGAAACCCTAACGGAATGCAGACGAAAATTCAGCGTATCCGCTGGAAATAGTAACAACCGGATGAAGTTTTTTATCAGTAGGGTGAAGTGAGCACGAAAGCGAAGATCCCACTGATACATTCTACTGAGTTTCTCGCAGGATCTTCTCAGAGGGTCGCGATTTCGATTCAGTGGTAGATTCTGCGAAGCACTGCTCTTAGTAGGGCTAGTGTTTTTTTTTATTGCTTAGATTGGACGAGCTCGCAGCCCACCTGGTGTTAAGTGGTTACTAGAGCCCATAGACATCTACAACGTAAATGCGCCATCCACCTTGAGATATAAATTGTAAGATCTCAGTATAGTTACAAGGGCTACCCTACCCTACCAACAATCCAGTCTGTTTATTCCGTGATTCAAGAGTCCCGGTTTGAATGGTGGCCCATTATGTTACAGCGGCTCTGAGCTGCCGACAGAGCCTCACAACAACAGCAATACAATTGTGATTGAAACCTCGCGTCTCAAGGTTAGAGACGCCATTATAAATACGTTTGGAACTCGTCTAGTCATTCTAGCAAAAAAAAAGTTATATATATAATTATCTGCAGATGATCAGACGGATTTGGGTTTTGGCGGCAGAACACTTATAGTGTTTTTGTTGTATACTAAATACGGTGTGAATCAATTATACAACTATATTACATTTAAAACAAGTTTTTTGCGGTTTCATTTCGGGTTTTTATTGTAATTTTATTACTTTCGACATTTCGAATCCTTTATAGTTTTCCTGTTCATGGACGACTAAGGTCTAGATCAGTGATTCTCAACCACTTTTCAACCAAATTTCAAAAGTGTGCCGCCAAATTTTGCGATTATATAATAATGTTAATATTATTAAATTATATAATTTTAAAAGAAAAATATTTTAAACATGAATATATATTTAAATCCACAAAAAAAAAATTATAGTATTTTTTAGTTTATTTCGTATATTAACATTTTTTGATAAACTATTTATGCAGTGTGTTGTAGTAAATAAATAATTTTTATCTTTTTTTTGTGTGCCGTCAAATTTTGAAATCGTTAAATATGTGCCGCAACAAAAAAAAGGTTGAGAATCACTGGTCTAGATCCTTAAAATAGAAAATTAGATACAGTGAATATTAAACAATTTTAATTATATCTACGATTCACAAAAGCCAAAATAAACAACTGTTGATCTATTACAATATATAACAAAGCAATTAAAAATCAATTTTGAATCATAATGGAAAAATGTTTATTTTTATAATACTAATCGAACAGACATTGCAATAAATCTTGTTTGTATCGAACGGCCATTTTAACGCCCCCTTCACCTTAAGACTCCGTATAGAACACTCGTATTCTAAGACATTAGCTCGACCTCGACTTCATCGAGGTTACATTACTAAACACCTTGAGGAACCCTCGAAATCTGTATTCTTAGACGTAGCTTGGTCTTGTAATGAGGTTATCATGACTTGACTTGTTCAATACTAGCAGGCAGCGAGCGACTCAACTGCGTCTATGAGCATCGACCCTGACTATTAAGACATTTTCTCTATTCAAAAAACGCCCAGTCGAGCAAACTTTTTCATACTTTGACTCGAGGAGTTCTCGAGTAGTTATTTTGTTACTTTGATTAAGGCGAGGTCGCGAAAATGTCAAGGTTAGCATCTAACTATACACCGATGATTGATTCATCAACGCGGAACCTAAGCCGCTAAATTGACATACTTGTGCAGCTGAAGGTTTTATGCCGTAAGTTCCCATAAGGGTAAATCGGGTAATTATCGGGTTGCTAGCGACCCGCCCTCGCTTCGCTTCGGTAACATTACATTTAATTATTGATAGCTGAGTCCCGCGATGTTATGTCCTGTCGTACCGCGGGTGACGCCGCGGGGCGAAGCTAGTCTAAAAAAGTAAAGCCTAAGTTACTCCTTATATCATCAGCTACCTATCAATGAAAGTTCTGTCAAAATCGGTCCAGCCGTTCCAGAGATTAGCCGGAACACACAGACAGACAGACAGACAGACAAAAATTGGGAGTTGATGCTTCCCGCTTCCGTAAGTTTAACCCGCGATTCCCTACAAGTAACCCCTGGGTGGTGCTAAACGTGAGCCGAAAACACAATCGGTGGTAGGACCTAGTCCGACTGGCTGGCGACCACCCTCCAACTAGAGTCTGCCCCCAAATAGCCTAGCTGTGTTCCGGCATGTGGGTTGGAGAGCCAGTTCTATTCCTTTCCTTTCCTCCTCCTTGTTGGGGGTGAGTCTTGGTGATACTTGGAACATGCAGAGCAAACGTGCGCGCAAGTCCGCGGGGCGTGGGTTGCTGACGGGGGTATAGGGAGACCCAGTGAAACGGTGCCTGCCGCCGCCCGCCGGTCNCCAATTTGGAGAAATTTCACACCCTGGGTGGAAGATCTTTTTTTTTTCATTACCAAAGTTCTGTTAAATGTTACAATTACAAAAAGGCCAGGACGCCTTTAAAGCTTTGAGTGACGAAAGTTTTTCGTGTTTAATAATCTTTAATAGTCTACGCTAAATTAAAATTATATCTCCCACAGATGGGCTGCGGTAAGATCTTCGCGACGCTACGTCGGTGCAAAAAAATTGATTATGACGACGACACCACCCAGTTGTCCAGATGTCTTGGACTATTCGACCTCACCTCGCTAGGAGTCGGGAGTACCCTCGGTCTAGGAGTGTACGTGCTGGCCGGCGCTGTCGCCAAGACTGTTGCTGGACCGGCGGTTGCCATCAGCTTTTTGGTGGCAGCAATTTCTTCTGTATTTGCTGGTGAGTGTGACAATCTTTCTTCGGATGCCACTGTATTAATTAATTTCGCCTGTTAGCACCATTTGCTTTTGCTTGTGTAGAACAAGTCGAAAAACCAGATTACATCAAATTGCTAAAGCTGTTTATTTTAGGTCTTCTCGACTTCTTTGAATAGAGATACATTGTAAGTAAGAGTACTGAAAACCCACTTCACACAGCAATAATGAATAACTATGGACATTTGTAAATATTGTCACCGTTGACAAAAACCGAAAAATGAAACCATTCCATCAGTATTTTCTTATGACGTTGTCATTTCAACTATCGTCATTCAACCGACTTTACACACAACCGATTTTTTTTTCCAACTATTGTGAACAATATTTCTCTCCGCCAGGGTTATGTTACGCAGAATTCGCTTCAAGGGTCCCAAAAGCCGGTTCAGGCTATAACTACAGTTACGTGAGCGTCGGGGAGTTCATCGCGTTCACGATTGGTTGGAACCTGATCTTGGAGTACGCTATAGGAACAGCCAGCGTCGCCAAAGGCATGGCGGTCTACATTGACACCCTCTTCAATAACACGATGGCGAAAACCTTGACCGCTGCTACTCCGATCAATGTGTCCTTCTTGGCTGACTACCCTGATTTCTTTGCATTTGGTCTAGTTCTTTTGGTAACTAGTGAGTATATATCTTTTACTTTTGTTTTCCTTAGATGGGAAGATGATACCAGAATTGAAAGACAGTCCTATCTTTGGAATCGGAGCCTAGTTTACGTCACACTAGACATAGGGGGAAGATGGTCGGTGGTCAGCAGAAGGTCCAACAGAGAGGGCTCGTGCCCCTCAATATCTGGGACACGGGTGGGCTGTGTCACCAGCTGGAAGAAGCCGTAGGCCAGGGCGAAATCGTAGGCAGCACTGACCTCCCGGGTCGGGCTGGTGACACAGCCCACCCGTGTCCCAGATATTGAGGGGCACGAGCCCTCTCTGTTGNTTCCCGAGCGCTATGACATGTCCTTCTTCAAACGAGGCTTGTGGAGAGTATTAAGCGGTAGGCAGCGGCTTGGCTCTGCCCCTGGCATTGCTGAAGTCCATGGGCAACGGTAACCACTCACCATCAGGTGGGCCGTATGCTCGTCTGCCTACAAGGGCAATAAAAAAAAAAAAAAAAAAAAAAAAAAAAAAAAAAAAAAAAAAAAAAAAAAAAAAAAAAAAAAAAAAAAAAAAAAAAAAAAAAAAAAAAAAAAAAAAAGATGGTATTGACTCGTGCCATTTCCCACCATGCCCTATTTGGGGTTTTAATTTTATTACATGATGTGTTTTTCCTTCATCATATTCGTTAATAAGCACATGCTAGATATTTAATTATGTAGAATTGGTTATTGCCTAAAAAAAGGATAAGGGCTTCAAGCCATAGTAAAATAGTATACAATTACAGGCGGCAGAGTCGTTCTGTGACCCCGCTTGAGTATCGATACAGGCGGTAGAAGTGTTCTATAACGCCGCTTCGATATCGATACCATCAACTTGTCTAATTCTACTTCAAAGCAGTCACGCATTCCAAAGTCACGTCATGATCTCCATGTGCCCAATACCCGCATAATACTATGGATTTCCGATATAAACACAAAAAGAAAAAAACCTTATTTTTATTTTTATTGCAATTAAGTGTGTTGGAAGTTTAATGCAATGATTTTCTCTAATATCTCTTCTAGTCCTGCTCGGTATTGGAGTTAGCGAATCTGCGAAAATGAATAACGTATTCACGGCACTCAATGTATTAACTGTCACAGTTGTTGTCGTCGCGGGCGCTGTCAAAAGTAAGTGTACCTTCCTTCCTTTCTCATTTCTCATTCTCTCATTCATTTTTTTCTAAGAGATTCCAATCTGCATTAAACCAATTACCAATATTACCCCGATAAAATACGTTCATTTGACGTAAAAAGTAATTACATACTTTACACCTTGACTGCTTTTTGCGGTTTAAAAAGCTCAACGTGCGGCAGTCAAAACCGTGCTCTTTCGCTTGGTGCGGGGGCAACTGTGTGCATATTTCTATCGGTTTGGGTATCATCGCCTATCAGGTCTCATAATACTGTAAAGAAGCCCAATCTTGGAACGAAAAGACCTCATACGCACTCGCTGAAAGTCAAGAATGATCCCACAGTCAACATGTTTTTCTTTTTTTATTGCTTAGATGGGTGAATGAGCTCACAGCCCACCTGGTGTTAAGTGGTTACTGGAGCTCACAGACATCTACGACGTAAATGCGCCACCCACCTTGAGATACAAGTTCTAAGGCCTCAAATATACCTAGTTACAACGGCTGCCCCACCCTTCAAACCAAAACGCATTACTGCTTCACGGCAGAATTAGGCAGGGTGGCGGTACCTACCCGTACGGACTCACAAGAGGTAATAAATGTTTTTGTTTTGTCATAAAGTAATAACTTGATAAGCTTCTACGTCGTCTTAAGTTAGTGAGGGTAACGATATGATAAGGTCCACTTAGTACATAAAAATAATTTGATAAAGTATTATAACTTTTTTTTGGTAAACGCTCGTTGCCTGACATATGCATACAATCGTTCAATCTACCAATCCTTCTATGAAGGTATATTAAGACACTCTTAATTAAATACACTAGGCTGTACCAGCTCGTGTTTCCTTCGGATATCAATAAAACTCGAACCAATGTCTTGATTGAAACACACGTAAAATATCAGCCTAATGAGTTTCACGCCGGATCTTATCAGTGGGTCGCTATTCCGATGCGGTGGTAGATTCAGCGAAGCACTGCTCTTGCTAGGGCTAGTGTTAGCAAAATTCTCTCAAGTCGAGCCCGGGAGCTTACCTACCCGTCCGAGAGTAGCCAAAATACCCTCTTGGACTAGCAGCGAATAGGTAGGGATATTTGTAGTAAAATTCCACACGATCCTCGTTATAATTAAATTATGATTTGCACCAGGTAACCCAGCTAACTGGAACATCAAACTAGCCGATATTCCACCCGAGTACGTGAGTCAAGCCGGGGAAGGAGGCTTCATGCCGTGGGGGGTGGCGGGTGTCATGGCGGGGGCGGCTAAATGCTTCTTCGGCTTCGTCGGCTTCGACTGCGTGGCCACCACGGGGGAAGAGGCCAAGAACCCGAAAAGAGACATACCTCTGTCAATAGTTCTGTCTCTGATCATAATCTTCTTGTCATATTTCTCCATCGCGACAGTGCTCACCATGATGCTGCCTTATTATATGCAGGTGAGGATTTTCAACCATCACTCAAAATACGCGCGTCTTTAGGTCTACGTCGTTGTAGTGTGGTTTAAAGGTAAGAGCCTCGGATTCCCTAGAGATAAAAAGCGCTTTTCTTTAATCTCTTCCATTGACTGAAATACAAAGAGCACTTCAAATATAGCTAGATCCTTATTTTTATTGTTACCTTACTAGGAATCGACGTTTACCAACACTTTTACCTTTTTCGGGAAGATTACCTTTACAGCTGGAATCTGGCATGATCAATAATTAGCAATGGATATTATTATGGCTGATATTATGTTTATCTAGGATTCAACCCAATTTCGAATTAAGTACATAATATTAAAGATAAAATCATACGTGTGTACGGTCACTAATGGACTTAGATGTTAGGGGGAAATGACATTCAAATCTCATACGAAAGTTTGAACATGCCCCGCTTTAGTGAGTGATGGAGACGAATTCACTTCGGAGCGTGATGCTCTGAGTTGTGTTTATATGATCTAAGTTATATACAGTGGTGTTTCTCACTTTACGGAAACCAAACTTTAATTTCATCGTTGTCATATTTAACAGGACGCGGAGGCCCCATTCCCCTACGTATTCGAACAGGTTAACTTACCGGTGATCAAGTGGGTGGTGACAGTGGGTGCTATATTCGCTTTGTGCACGAGTCTGCTCGGCACCATGTTCCCACTCCCGCGGGTGCTGTACGCTATGGCGTGTGACGGGGTGCTGTTCCGACCACTAGCCGCCATTCACCCGAAGACCAAGACCCCATTGTTGGCCACTGCGATTAGTGGATTTCTTTCGGGTGTGTATTACCAACTTTTTTTCCCGAGTATTTAATGGAGATAGGTCATGCTTATTGCCATATTTCTATAGATATAGAAACATACTATATAACGCTACTGCTACCTACCACTTCCTTGGACAAAACGGGCACAAGTGAAGATTGAATTACTCAATCAGTAGTGATAGTAGTTATTCATGGACGGTCTTTGATTTTAAATAATTATTATTTTAACTAAGTGCCTTGGCAAACCAACAATCCTATGCGGGTCCACAATAAGTCATGCTACTAAGAACACACGTGCAGCTGTACTTAATTAAAAAACTTTCTAATTCGATTCAATCTTTACTAACATAACTTCTTACTCTGAGACAGACCTTAGGACTTATCTCCTATATATTTTAACATTGAAATACTTTTCTTTTTCAGCAATAATGGCAGCCATGTTCAATCTGAAACAACTGATAGACATGGTGTCTATTGGGACTTTGCTAGCGTACACCATCGTGGCAACAAGCGTTCTCATACTTAGGTAAGTTCTCGTAAACATGTTTCTTTTTTTCAACTTATCCGAAATAAGAATCATTATTTTTAATCACAGTCTGCCTCAAATAGATTATATTGCCTTGATTTTTTATTTAAGAACAGCTATGAATGAACAATATAATGTTTAATCTATTCACAATTCAACTTATCGCGAATTAAAATGCAAATGTAGATGTTTTGAAGGTTTGATTTTTTGTGCGCCGGTTTTTACGAGTATTTTGTGAAGGTCAGTCAGTACGCCACTAAGGCGATACGCGATATATATAGTTATAATGTAATAATTCGTTAATTTATAAACGAAGAAAATGAATCTTATAAAGAACATGGGTACGAGACTTCATCCAGTGAAAGCTGGGGCAGCCGTTGTAACTATACTGAGACCTTAGAACTTATATCTCAAGGTGGGTGGCGCATTCACGTCGTAGATTTCAATGGGCTCCAGTAACCACTAAACACCAGGTGGGCTGTTTTTTTTTTATTGCCCTTGTAGGCAGACGAGCATACGGCCCACTGATGGTGAGTGGTTACCGTCGCCCATGGACTTCAGCAATGCCAGTAGCAGAGCCAAGCCGCTGCCTACCAAAAGTGGCTGTGAGCTCGTCCACCCATCTAAGCAATAAATAAAAAATGACAGAAATTTACGGGAGAGGCCTGGAGCAGTAGACTTTTCGTGGCTCGTGTGATGATAAAGAGCTTTCTCGATCCAGATACGAGGAGGAGGATGTATCTGTTGGCACGGAAAAAATATCGGCACGCGGGAGGGGAGTGCTAGCAGTATTAGGTCAGGGTTGCAACCTGCTCGGACTCAAGAACCCCACGCAACTCTCCTCCACCATCGCCAAGATTACCATCGCTGTCCTCTGTAAGTTCACCATCAAATTTTTGAAGAACTTTTATTTATTTATTTATTTTTATCTTATTTTTAATTTACATTGGCGGACTGAATGCTCAAGGCATTCTCTACCAGTCAACCTTTTTTTTATTTTTTTTTTATTACTTAGATGGGTGGACGAGCTCACAGCCCACCTGGTGTTAAGTGGTTACTGGAGCCCATAGACATCTACAACGTAAATGCGCCACCCACCTTGAGATATAAGTTCTAAGGTCTCAGTATAGTTACAACGGCTACCCCACCCTTCAAACCGAAACGCATTACTGCTTCACGGCAGAAATAAGCAGGGCGGTGGTACCTACCCGTGCGGACTCACAATAGGTCCTACCACCAGTGGTTACGCAAATTATAATTTTGCGGGTTTGATTTTTATTACACGATGTTATTCCTTCACCGTGGAAGTCAATCGTGAACATTTGTTAAGTACGTATTTCATTCGAAAAATTGGTACCCCGTCCGCGGGATTCGAACACCGGTGCATCGCAACAACGAATGCACCGGACGTCTTATCCTTAAGGCCACGACGACTTCAAAGGTAGTGCAGAGTAAATAGTGGTATGTGCAATGAAATTTATATTAAATTACGAATAGATACACAAAAAATATATATTATATATACATATATACACAATCACATATAAATATGTATATGTATATTTATATGTGATTATACATACATACAGATAATAAGTATACAGTATTGTTAGTGTCAGTAAAAATAATCCTCCTAGAAGCAATTGTTTATCATGGTTCATGTAAAGTATGTACATCTAAGTTCATGAGAAGTCTAAATGAAATCTGATATTACTCGTGGCATTAGGAGTTCTATATGGGGGAGAGAGGGTGACGTCACTAGTGTACCATCAGTTCACTACTCATGCCACACCCCTCCCTGATGTTCATTATATGATACAGTCGTGGTGGCGCTGGCGACGTGCGTAGTATTGAGTGTGGACGGCGGAGCGGTGGCGGGAGCAATACTGGGGGCGATCCTGGTGGTATTACTGGTGGTGTTATACCGACAACCCACTAATGACGTATCCCATCTCTCATTCAAGGTAATTACATTAGACTAGTTTAGTGAAGCAGAGGAGATTCTGAAATGGAACTTTAAACCAACATCTATACTAATATTATAAAGCTGAAGAGTTGTTTGTTTGAACACGCTAATCTCAGGAACTACTGGTCCGATTTGAAAAACTCTTTCAGTGTTAGATAACTCATTTATTGAGGAAGGCTATAGGCTATATAACATCGCGGTACAAGTGGACCACCAATAAAGAGTGTTTCAAAATAGTGGTTTAAATAGCTCCTTAACATTCTATAATTCAAAAATATTTCCACTTTCTACGTAAATGAAGTGGGGATAATATTTAGCGTTATGCCAAAGTAACTATTCCACCCGGACGGAGTCGCGAGCAAAAGCTAATTTAGTTACAAATTGGTATTTTCAAAGAATCGCAGGTCAATGTTAATAAGAAGCAGGAGAGAGTCACATGTAGAACATGAGAGACATTGTAAAACAGGACTGTTGAATGACAAAATACCTAATACTTACATAAGTTTAGGCAAGTTAATGATTGTTAAAATCATGGCAATGATTGATATTGAAATTCTTATTCGTCGTCTGTGCGCTTGTGCGAGTTTTTTAACGTTCTCGATAGCGTAAAAGTTAAATCACCGGTCCACGCGAAGCTGGAATAGCCCTTAGGCTACAAATGATTAGGTAGGGGAAAAATAGTTATTTATGCATAACACTGGAATATGTTTGAAGGTGCCGCTAGTCCCACTTGTCCCATACCTGAGCGTCTGCATGAACGTGTATCTGATGGTCCAGTTGGACTACCAGACGTGGGTTCGGTTTTTCATATGGCTTATAATCGGTAAGTTCCTTCAAATATTCTCCCCACTTTTTTTCCACAAGGAAGAAAATTAATTTCAAAATATTGTCCCGTGCCTTGTTCACACCGATACTTTTTTCATTTCTATTTTTATATGTGAACAAGCTTATTACCCAAATTTTGTTTGGTAATTGCGGCCGCTCACAGAAATAAGGCAATGCTACATGATAATCACCTTATCGTTGCCGAATCCTGATCACGCAGGAGCCAGTCACCGTCGTTGCCCTAGACAAATCCTTACGGATCCATCAGACCCAATAACTCTTGCATTTTACGCCTTCAGCTCTAACACTAGGAGCAGACTTAGGAACCCCGGTAACCGTACTCGTCGAACTCGACAAAGAGTTCGACGTGCAACCTAACTCATGCATCAGCCCGCTGAGTTTCTCGCCGGATCTTCTCAGCAGGTCGCGATTCCGATCCGGTAGTAGATTCGCGAAGCAGCTACTCTTGAGTTGTTAGGTCTCCCTTGGGGTCGGGTAGCTGTTAGCAAATCCCACCCAGGAGGCTGAGCCCTTGCTCGCCCACCTATCGTTGTGAAACTAGAAAGGCCTCTGGGCCACCAGTAATCCTTCGTTCATAAAAAAGAGAGTATTTCCACTAAACAATATATTAACTGATTTTATTCTTTATTCCAGGTTACCTAATTTACTTCTTATATGGAATCCGTAACAGTTCACTCAATTCTTCACAGCCCGCCGGTAAAGTCGATGACAAGGATAAATCACAAGTCGTAACAAAATTTTGATCTGTAATACCAGATTAGGCGTAATGTGTCTTACGTGTTGAATACCTGGATATTGTTGTGTATGTAATAGTTATAATATTAATCCTGTGATTGTTGGACAGTTAAGGTTGTGAGTGAAAAGCATCTCAAGACTATGGATTACTTAGTGATTTTTTATTTATTTATATGAGATACAAAACTGTGCGTAATAATACAGCTCTCACCTCTGAGCCGGGGCTCCCAAACATCAGCTCTTTCTCTTGGACTCCCTGCACAAGCAAGTCTTTCGAATCATCTAGAATCCTAGTCATCGGATCTCCGATTAAGCGTTCCAGTGTTCAAAGAACCTTTTCCAATTGACACAACCTTCGCATCATCGTCAAGACGCCTTTATAAAGTTCAAAAGTTCAGTCACTACGCCATCAAGAGACCACTTACAGATGCTATTTCTCTTCTTGATTCACTTGTCACTACCGCCAGTAATAATTTTATTGGGATCTCTTACGTTTTTTTTTAGATTGTTTGTCTGTGTTGCCTATTCCAAAACATAACAAAATTTCGAGAACATTCGTCTCCCGATTGCATGCCGATTTGCAACATTCTGTTTATATCTCAAATAAAGTACTCCCGCTCAGTATAATAGTTCACTGTTGTTGTCAATTAACCTGTAAAAATAAAGGTATCATAGAGAAAAATAATCTTTGTTCCTTACCTACTTATGCTTACATTTTTTGTAGGAACTAAAGGGAGGTCTGAGATTCACTTGCGGGCACTAGACCCTTACGGTTAGTCGATTATTTTGTGAAAGATTGTTAANATATCTCAAATAAAGTACTCCCGCTCAGTATAATAGTTCACTGTTGTTGTCAATTAACCTGTAAAAATAAAGGTATCATAGAGAAAAATAATCTTTGTTCCTTACCTACTTATGCTTACATTTTTTGTAGGAACTAAAGGGAGGTCTGAGATTCACTTGCGGGCACTAGACCCTTACGGTTAGTCGATTATTTTGTGAAAGATTGTTAAATTTACTTCTTTCTTTAAGTCTTTTTTTAACTCGAATCATATGTCAATGTTAAACAAAAAAAACACCGATTTTTATATGTGATTTACTTAATTAAAAATCAATTAATGTTGCCATAAAAAAATGGAATTGAAGGCCTAGTTAAAAATGGTAATTATTGTTTTTAATTATTGTAAACAGTTACAAATTGTTGCTAACTTTAAGGATTATCCTACGATTGTTCAAAGAACATAATACAAATACAAATACGTGTCTTTTCTAACAGCTGTGTACAAAATACATTTATTAAATTAATAAAATAAAAAAAATTAATTTAAATAAATAATAAAAAAAATTAAATAAATAAAAAAAAAATTACTCTAAAATTATGAAAATTTCATTCTAAAAATATTGCTGCGCTCCAGTTAGTGTCCGTAATTTTAAACCAGGAATTGGAAACGAAAACTCCTTCAGTTATTTCTGTACCAGTCCAATGAAATAAATAAATGTCATAAGACAGTCAGTCATAAGCTAGAGATTTTAGATTTTATGGCTTATAATATTACGGGCTAATGATGTTAACATTATTATTAAAAATAAAATATTACCAAGTATTTTCTACATATCTTTAAATTAAGCAAAACAACGGGTACAGGTACTTCCAAGCTGCCATAATACAGGGTGTCTCATTTATGCAACCACCCAATAATTTTAACGACGGCTGTGCTTCAAATAAACTTCGACATTCAAGCTATTTAAAATAATTAATTTGTCACAGCAATTTGTTGTAAATTTAATTTTGTTCTCAATTCAAAGCCATGAAGAATGTATGTGATTAAGGATGTAACAAAATAGTAAATTATTATTTTATTAATTATATTTATATGTATCGAATTTAGGACTTTTCTTTTCAATCGATAAGTTTGATAATTTCACTATGAAATCCTTAGTCCTAGTCCTTAGCGCGCAAGATATTATTATGTTGAATGTACGGTAACCCGAATGCATTTTTTGTCTATTTTACATACAATATTCTGTGATCTAATAATAGAAATCTTAATTAAAATAAAACAAAAAAAATAAAAGCGTAACTTTATTTTATCATTAAACAAATAAATACTGCAACTTAATTTCTATAAATAATAACAAACGGAACATTTTTCTTTAATAATATTAGCCTTAATTATTAACTTAGTGTGAGTGTAAGTGTTAATGCTATAATACCATTAGTTACAGAGAATCAAAAAGTCTGAAATTTTCGCAACCTTTGATACCCAATGGTAGTTTTCCAATTACAGAGCATAATGCCGCATAATGCGACTCAGTGACGCACAATGCCGAATTATGCTGAAGCTTAATTGGAACGTGAATTAGTTTTCAAATGCATCAACAGAATGCGCTAAGTTAGCACAGTTTTAATTAACATTGATTATTTCTCATTTCAATTCCGTTTGCAACGCTGTCGAGTCCGGACGTGTTTTCTCGAAATATTGTCGCTGCAGTCGCGATCTTGTGTTTTGGTTTGCACGACATTGTCGCTGTCGCGTCGATCGCGACTTGTTGTGTATTCCTGACGCACGGGCGCTGGCGTAGCGACCTTGGGTCGAAAAAACATTTCGAATTCGTTTGTTCTGCATTCGAAAACGCCAATTTCACATTCACTTCATTCATTACCATTTATTAAATATATTTAATCTATCCGTCGTGCAAAACAGTCTTTTTAAAGACTGAACCCCCACTGCGATCACCGCTTGTTGTGGCACTNACGATAATATAAACAAAATTTCGATCAATGCCAACTTAAAGAAAAAACACTTGTCAATTTTGTGTCACTGAGTCGGTATCGATTGCGAGTATCACGCGAGAGCAGTACTTTTGAGAGTGCTCGATTGTGCGAAGCGTTGCTGTAGTTGGAACATTCAACGTTGAGCATTATGCCGCATAATGCGCTCTTGTGCTGTCATTGGAAAAGTACCAAAATATGCAAAGAGAATGTCAAAATGCGTTTAATACTCTTAAATACTAATGCAATTATTTTAACAGTACGTTATGTTTTGACGCCCATACCGCTGTACTGATTTTGATTAATTCAATATACATAGAAATAGTTTAAGCCCTGGAAAAGAATATAGGCGTTTTTTTACCCAGTTTTGAATACATTGTGCTTAGTACGAATTTTTTAACGTTCTCGATAGCGTAAAAGTTAATTCAAATTTGTATGGAGTTGGAACGTTTGCCTACGTTTGCCGCCAGGGGCGCTGATCCAACTGGATACAAATTAAGAGTTAACTTTTACGCTATCGAGACCGTTAAAAAACTCGCACTAAGCACACAGGTCTTGGTATTACACATTGCTCAAACCAGTACAAGTAATTATATTCTTTCTCTTTCTCGCTCTGTCGTATAATAATTTATCGACCGTAACTCTCTGCAGCTAAGGTACCAATACCAAAAATGCCGGAAAAATGCAGCGAACAGTATGTACAGTGAGCTACAAAAGTGCGTGGATAGTACTGTGTGCTTCGTGCGAGTTTTTGCGAGCAGTTGGAACAGCGCCCCTAAAAAAAGTAAGCAAGCGTTGCATATGCCTACAAATTTAAGTTAACTTTTACGCTATCGAGAACGTTAAAAAACTCACACTGAGCACAAATAATTATCCCTGGTCGTCTTCCACTATACGGGCAGCAAATGAAACACCAGCACCTCAATCGACGATTTGATTTCTCCCAGGATTACAGAACCGAGGCGCCGGTGGAAATCTGCAGCTGATCGTTTTATTTTTTGACAACCACACTGACAGGTCCTCGACATTAGCAATGACAAGAACGGCTGTCTTACAAACACTACGCGTTAAAGACTACAAGTATAATTTCAATTTTCAGATCACTATTATAATACATATGCGTCAAGGAAGCGATTTAAATTAATAAAAATAAAACAATTGGAAATTGTTATTCATAGCAATGTAGTGATTTTATTTTGTAAAATAATGTCTTGTAGTAAGTTTTGTCGGATAACAGGAGAATAAAGCTTGAATGAAAATAATGAACAAGATCCAGGATCCCGATTCACGCTGATATTTCTATATAATTTTGGAAAAATTCGATCCAGTTGGCTTTGTAAATTGCTTCCCAGTTATGTCTTGTTTACAGAATAACATTTTCCCCGTTTCAACAGTTTTTATATATTGCACCGACAAGTGAGCGAGCTCAATTCCCACCCGGTGCTAAGTGGCTACCGGAGTCCGCGTGTACACTGAGGTACCGCCACTCGCCTTGCGACATGAGGTCTGAGGACAGCAGCATTGTAGCGCGGCGGGAGCACACCCTATGGTCTCTCCTCCTGGTCTGTTTATCTTTCGTCCAATAAGTTTAAGTCTTCGCGTGAACATTTGGACACTATAGTCGTAAAAACCGCCCTCATCGCTCGCATTTAATGCAATCAATTGTGAATCAAATCAATTGTGATTTAACATTACAGTTTATCAGTCATTATAGTATTATTTTTACAGTTCATTAATTCATTACAGTTTATTAATCATTATATGTATTTTCTTTAATAATGTGTTGTTAATAGTACGCCGCAACATACTTGCTGTATCTTTATCTGTCCATAATTTCGGGTAATTAAACGGCTGTCTGGCAGAGATCGCTTTTAGCGATAAGACCGCCTATTGTACAAACGTATCTCTTTGTTGACTGTTTTTGATATTAATTGTGTTTTGGTGTGCAATAAAGTATGTTCTCTCTAATATAATTATAAATCTCTAATATAATATAATTATAAATATAGATTTATAATATATATTATGTGTTCCGTTTGACGTCCGAAGTCCATTATGAGAGTACATCGTATGATTTCCACTGCAGGTCGCTCAATTTGACTACTTCCGTTTCCTAAGTCCCGCCTACAGCGCCCTCTATAACGTCTGGAACCGAACCAACAAGCAAAGACAAGCCGCCATATTTGTCATTGTTGCGTCGTTTTTTCCCACGTGCAGTCGTTAATATTTTAAGAAGTTAATAATTTAAAATGTTATAAGCAACTTTCGAGATTTGAAGTAGAAAGTTTGCTTCAAACAAGTGTTATGATTATCTTCCGTTTCGTGAAACCTCCAAGGCTCTACAATGAGTGACGAGGTTATCGCGCCTTTTCAAAGTAAAATTTAAGTGAGGATAGTTCTTCGATTTCTTCGGATATTTCTTCGGGTTCGTCGGAAAATAAAAAGGGACCAGCAAGAAAACTTCGAAAGCGTGACTGGTTGCGAGATCTGAATAAAAGGTTTGACTTACTGTCGCAATAATGGGTGAGTCATGTGAATAATATTTTAACTTCGAATCATGCTATTGCTGGTCGTGCACCAGTGGTCCCGCCTTTACACTTACAAATACCAACATCTTATAATAATAATGTCTGATCTGGTTTCAANCATAATATAGAAATTTTACCTTCCAATAAAATTTGTATTATGTTTCCTAAGACGTCCGAAGTCCAGATAATGTCTTCCTGGGGCTACATCCATCATTATGAGCCGAACAATGACAAATATGGCGGCTTGTCTTTGCTTGTTGGTTCGGTTCCAGACGTTATAGAGGGCGCTGTAGGCGGGACTTAGGAAACGGAAGTAGTCAAATTGAGCGACCTGCAGTGGAAATCATACGATGTACTCTCATAATGGACTTCGGACGTCTTAGGAAACATAATACAAATTTTATTGGAAGGTAAAATTTCTATATTATAAATCTCGTCAATCTTTTGTAAGTATTTCTTGAACTAATCGAAAAAAAAAAAGATAGCGAATCTACGAATCCGTGTGTAAGATAGATCCGACGTCATGCCTCTGAGCGCTACCGGTCGCGGCGCACACAGGCGCTCGCTGTAGGCGGACATGGCAATGTCCTAGTCGTGTGACGTTAATGGTTCAAAATGCGAAATTTATTTAAATTATTACCACCGTTTTATATTTAAAGTTACATATTAGGGTACAACGGAAGAACGCCACGCCCCTGATCTCTCTTTGTTCAGCCCACACCCTGGACACGAAGGTCAAGTATCTAGGAGTCCCGGTATTAACGGTCCGCGACGAGGCCGCGTCTACACCACGATTTCCAAGCAAAGTAAACTGTCCCTTCCTAACAAGACGACACTATACTAAGTTAATTATTATTACGTTACATTGTGTATTTGTATGTATATATGTAAGGAATTTGTAAATGTATGTATATGTGTATATATTTAAATTGATTGGTACACCGCGTGTAATTCGTTTCCAAACGATTATTTTCCGGCTTGTCCGTTCAAAAATTTTAAACTTCACCTACTGATTTATAATCCGGTCCGATCCGGTTGTAGGGCTGTCCGGTGTCGGTTTCTCAATATCAAAATTCCCGAACATGAACGAGTCTAAAAAGGATATCTGTGGCTGGGGGGAGGGGCGTCCCCAGGGGGTCTCCCCCGCACGACTCCCCGCACCCGCCTGCCTCAGTACCGACATCCACATCCGTACGATTCTAACCTAATCACGATATAGGAACTAAAAATTATAATAGCAATAAAACTATGCAGGATGTAAAGGAACTCAGAGCTCAAAGATAATCACAGCTTCACATAGAAAAGCGAAATTTCCAAATCTGCTACATCAGTGTGCTTAATGCGAGTTTTAAACGTTCTCGATCGCGTAAAAGTTAACTCGAATTCGTATGCAGTTGGAACAGCGCCCCTAGCGGCAAACGTACTAGCTCCATACAGATTTGAGTTAACTTTTTCGCTATCGAGAACGTTAAACAAACTCTCACTAAGCACACTGAGCAACCGGGGGATTACTACCGCACCTGCATCTCCCAGGTCAAAGTTCGACCGATGGTCGGTTTTCCTGATAATTCTATCAATAACCCATTACATTAAAGAAAAACATTAAAACAAAAAAATGTATTTATCAAAAGGCCCTGCGTTCCACTGCACCCGACATAATTCAAAACAACCACAGCCTCTCGCGACAATACTGAGCGATATATATCATTTAAGTACCTACGAGACAAATAGCCCAGTCCCACGCGTGGGCTGCAGGGGCGACCCACGCGTGGGACCCTGTGGCCTTGTCCATGACGTCCCCGACACGTCACTTTCATCTAATGTTAATAACCGGAAACACGTCAAAATGCATTATCCTGGCCTCCACTAAGTAACAATGCTCTGATAATTCTATATCAACTACAAATGAATGCTGATCAATACGATAATTTATTTTCGACTGTAAATAATACTTGAATAGAACCGAGATTCATTTGAAACGTTTTGGTTGAGTTTAAGGATCTTTGTTTCGCCATTATTCGAAACTCTACATCTACATTATACATCTTAATGAGTTTAAGGTTCACTGGCAGCGAGTTGTATATTTGGTTAAATGTACTCACGAGTGCTCACACTCATCGGTCCCGTTGAGCTCAACTAACAACGCGTTCTCACGGTACAAGACTCGACAAGTCCACCGAGCAGCAGGTGGTCCACAGAAGATTCTCCCTTTGGGAACGATGCTGATAGGCGCCATCAGATTAACCCCCCCCCCTTTCCCCCGTACCCCTCTCCCCGCTCCCCGTATACGACAGTTCCACACTTAACTACTGTAGAGCTAAAATGTCAATCAGCAGATTATTCATTCAAGAGATTACACAGTAATTCAGAGATTTCGTACTTAAGTTATATCTTGATATTGTATGACATGATGTTTCAGTATTCATTTATTTTTCTAAGCTTAAACTTTAAAAAATTCAACTCGACATGTTAATTCTTGAATGTCTTAAGCTCAAACCAAACGAAAACGTTTCAATACCTTACCTAAAACTAGCACATTTTTAATGGTACATTTTCCTTTAAGAACAGCGCGAATTGTTTCCTACCCTCCTAACGTTCAGATACTAGATATAAAGGACACGACGGTGTTGCTGGGGCTGACGACGTCGTCACCCTCGGCGTCGGGTCAGCCCAGCGCGTGGGTCAGCCCGGAGTGGTTCAGCAGAGCGGTGTGGCCGTCGATGATCTGATCCGCCAGCTGGATCGAATCCATTGTCCGACGGCGTTCAGTGCTGTTCCACATGCCGTAGGAAAAGTAGATCACGAGACCTGAAAATCGGAAGAACATCATTTTTAATTTCAAAGCTCTGAACAGATTTATTTAGGTGACGCTTAATTCTGCCGTGAAGCACGGTTTGAAGGGTGGGGCAGCCGCTGTAACTACATTGAGACCTTAGAGCTTATGTTGTAGATGTCTATGGGCTCTAGTAACCACCACACCAGATGGGCTGTGAGCTCGTCCACCCATCTAAGCAATAAAAAAAAAACTCTGACAGAAGCGCAGAGATTTAAGAAGAGGGCTTTGTCGATGTTGATTAGGCAACGCCACTATATATCTTCAGTGACATAAATGGCGCTGCAAGATCCTGAACAAAATTCACATTAGTTTTTTTATTTGTTTTGTTATTTTTATTATTATTTTGTTATTATTATTCGTTTTGTTATATTTTTATTGTAGCAGTAGCTTCACGGCAGAAATAGGCAGGGCGGCGGTACCTACCCGTACAGACTCACAAGAGGTCCTACCTTCAATAACAACGCAAATTATAATTTTACGGGTTTGATTTTTATTACGCGATATTATTTCTTCACCGTGGAAGTCAATCGTAGAATATTTGTTGAGTACGCATTTCATTACAAAAATTGGTACCCGCCTGCGAGATTCGAACACCGGTGCATCGCTAGATACGAATGTACCGGACGTCTTATCCTTTAGACCACGACGACTTCTCGCCGAATTAGTTATTTGTGTTTAGTTCAAAAACAACACTAGCCGTTGGCAGAGCGACATTACCTGCGCTCTGAGAGCAGTCTAGAGTGGTTCACAAGAAGTCTCACCCAAAATCTCAACAATAGGTTACAGATTATATAGTATAGGAGACTTTTTGGCGGGAACACTAGGAGTGAAGTTGTGTGATTTGTTTTATTTTATCTATTTAATGTTTCTTCAGGTTTAAATGTGTAATAATGGTGATTTATTAACTGTTTGATATCTGTGAAAGTGCACAAATGTGGGAAAATAAAACAAAGCCGCTGGAAGTAACTTTTCGGGATCCTCCAAAAAGTCCACTAAAAAAATCTCAGTAAATGACCACCATTTTACTGAGATTATATGTCATCCCATATCATTTCATTTAATTTCATCCCAGTTGATTATTGTCTTAAATTAATCATCTTCATTTCATTTCATTCCATTTCACTCCATACGTAATTCTTAAAAATAAGAATATTAATTAAAATAAGACATGACTTAAAGGTCTTAGTTACCAGGTCATAAAACCCCATAATAATATAGTATAGGATAGTAATACAGATTTTTACAGAATAATCAAAATCCGATTGAATGACGCAATAAACGTTGAAACAATTGTTTCCTGGATATTTATCTCAAGGCAATTTCAATTTTATTACAAATAAACCATAAAAGTTTACACATGCAAATATTATTGTAATATAGCACGCATATTCGTGCGTTCGTTGCTTAAATACGTTCAAATAGAGTGTCTATTTGAATACGGATAAGCCCCACAATCGTTATCAACTTTCACGGTACACTTAGAGCAATAATTATGTAAGGACCCGAACACTTAAAGTTTTCACTTATACATTTGTATATTTCATGCTATGATGATTTATAAAAAAAAACATTCAGGACATGAATAATAATATAGAACCGCCATTATGTTTAAGCTTTAGCTAAGCTAGCATTGCCGCAAATGGTACTCAACACTGATGCTGCACCAGATGTGCAAGCCGCTGTATTCCCCTGAGCGTTCTACGATAACGGAGTCGGTAAAGCAGCATCCCGGTCCTGTAAAACTTATGATTACTATTCCAGTGTACCACTTTTAAATACTGGAAATAAACACTACTATGTTTCTTTTGATAATTTATTGGTTCATTTCATTAATAAATATCTCTGAGCGTTATTTAATGCCGTGTATTAATTCGGACAATACTAAAAACTGTTCTGATCGAACTTAATGACTATTGTATCTCTTCAAAGTCTCTAAAACGTATGGATAGGAAATCGCGTAACTGTTACGACCCCACAGGTGGTCTAAATGGTTGAAGTAGTCCGGCTCAAGGATCATGTGATCCTTCACATTGACCAGGTTTTGTTTTAGTAGCTCCATGTCCTTCAGCGTCGATATTCTATCGTTCTTCCCCGACACTAATATTGTATCGAATGTAACCTTTCTCAAATCGTAATTGGGTGGTGTAAACGCTTTGTATTTGTACAAATTCTTTGTTGTCCCGTAATCGTAATTACTGAAAGATCTCCTGCTGCCAATCTGGGCGAAATGCACTAAATTCTTCCACGACGTGCCCGACGGGAAATGGGCCATGATGATGGGAAAAAAATCAGGGTCCATTTCATCTGATTTCGTGCCGATTAATGGCGCTAAAACTGCTCCCATGCACAGCTCGTAGCTGATCGGCAATTGTGTGCAGAGCATATTCATAATTCCTTTTGTGAGAGAGCTATAACCAGAAATTTCGTAGAGATCAAATGGCATCACAGCCTTGTCTATTACGTTACCGAATGTGATTAATGACGCGATGGGTCCTCTCGTGTTCTGCAGATGACAAACCGGTGCTAGGGCTATGAAAACATTGACTTTCTCGTTGTATTCCGGTCTGGTCGCTCCCAAAATAAGTGTCATCGTTGTCCCTTGAGAAAATCCGACTATATTAACCTTCGACTGCCCTGTCGCATTCAAAACATAGTCGATATTAGCGGATAGATCATAATATCCAAACTCGTGTATGCTGTAGTCCCAGAAGGCGAAATCATCGTCTGGATTTAGTGTCATGTGTTTCCTGGTGTATCTCGTTCCCCTCACATTTATAGCCCAGACATCGTAGCCCGATGCTGCAAGTATGATAGCCAAAGAAGTGTTTCCTCTTATGACGTAGTCATCAGCAGTTCCGAATATCCCGGGTAAGAGTAGCACGGGTCTAGTTTTGTCGCCTGGTATGTTGAATAGCTTCAGAATATATCCATCGCTAGTGATGACATCGTGCTCTTCGACTTCATACCCATATTTTTGGACAAGTTCAGTGAAGTTCATTAACCCTTCCACTGGCACCTTTGTTAATGTCGCCGTGATATTTCGAACGGTCTGTGACGTCACTGCGCTTATTATCGCCAATACTAGACATATCCGAAAAAAACTCAACATTTTGCGTTCACTCATATATGCAGTGCAAAAGTTTGTGTGAATAATTCTAATTAAAAACATATATTTATAGGTACATTTTTATCAATAGCAATTCAAAGAGTTTTTTTGTTTGTCGAAACAGTTGAAACTGGGTGATTTAATTGAATCGGGGCGCCCGCAGTCGATATTTTCTAGACAAAAATCAAAAAGCTAGGTCATTCCGACTAATTTATTAAGGTAATTTACTTCGAATGTATACTCATTAGTGTAATTTGTTGACCCGCATTCGTGCCTAAATTATATCTAGATCGCGTACTCACAATATGAAAATCATACTCGTATAACTAATAAATACATTTGTGATAAATAGACAACAGAACAATTTTGTATTTTCTTCGATTTTCGTGATGCATATACCAAATTGAAACTGTGTAGGTATGTGTGTTTTTTATCATTATATTTCTGTGATGCATTGAAAACTTTGCAAATTATATTTTATAATTACACGAATAAAAAGATGTTTGGTGTCGTGGGACACCGGATAGGAACGAAGTTCCTTATTATAAAAATATTAATTTTAAGTTCTATTCGAGGTATAAAGAAAATCAAACTAGAGGTTTCGCAACAACCCACGGTCATTCGGCAACGTGCGAACTTATTGTGGTACACTTCATTCACCGTTGTTTGCATAAGAGTTAGTATATTGAGCAAAGGAACGCTCTAAGATCGTGGTCAATGAATGATAAAAAAATATGTTATTTTTTGTACGTTATTACAAAGTTAAGTCGTACACTGTGTCATTAGTAATAAAAATCTTACGTTACGGAGGTTTTTTCCCAGTTAGGGTACCCCTCCGCATCGTCCCATAAGGAACTTCGTTCGAAAAACCGACATTAAATCGTACAACGGCACGGGAGTCCATGATTATCACTTCACGATTTCCATTGCGGAAATAAGCAGGAAAGTGGGGACTATCCGTGAAGGCCCATGCTTGCTTGAATTATGCTCTCACAATATACTCAGAGAACACTACTCTGTTTGTTCTTCAACGAATCCTTTAGTTGCCTTTCGCCTTAGCTATTGACTTATGGAGAAGTATCACTCGAGTTAGAACTTCTACCACCACACCTTTTTATTTATTTATTGCTTCGATGGGTGGACGAGCTCACGGCCCACCTGGTGTTATGTGGTTACCGGAGCCCATAGACATCTACAGCATAAATGCCGCCAGCCACCTAGAGACATGATTTCTAAGTCTCAGTTTTTACAGTACAACGGCTGCCCCACCCTTCAAACCGAAACGCATTACTGCTTCACGGCAGAAATAGGCGGGGTGGTGGTACCTACCCGTGCGGACTCATAAGACGCCCTACCACCAGTAATTACGCAAATTATATTTTTGCGGGTTTGATTTTTATTACACGATGTTATTCTTTCACCGTGGAAGACAATCGTTAACATTTGTTAAGTAAGTTATAAAATTTGGTACCCGCCTGGGATTCGAACACCGGTGCATCGCTACATACGACTGCACCGGACGTCTTGTCCTTTAGACCACGACGACTTCTCGCCGAATTAGTTATTTGTGTTTAGCTTAAAAACAACTCTAGCCGTTGGCAGATCGACATTACCTGTGCTCTGAGAGCAGTGTAGAGTGGTTCACAAGAAGTCTCATCCAGAATCCCAACAATAGGTTAGGTTACAGATCATTATAAGATAGTAATAAGGATTTTTACAAAACAATCAAAATCCGATTGAACTACGCAATAAACGCAGAAAAATGGTTTCCTGGATCCTACATACGAATGCACCGGACGTCTTATCCTTTAGGCCACGATGATTTCAAACTTCGACCTGTGGGCCCAACGCATAAGACAATGGTCCTGCGATTTCTCGTGACCCAAAAAAAGGTCGTATAACTGCCTCATTCTACACGAGCAGGAAGTCTGCACATGAAATCGCAGACCCTTTTACGTGCAACGAATTACCCATTCGAAGCGTTAAATTTCATACGCGACTTTGTTTGCGTATCATTCTCAAATCTCCAATAATTTAGGCAATCAATTAAGTAATTCAATAAAATTTGGAAAAAAGATCATATTTTAACAAAAACAAAAACTATTAGGCCGTCTTAGTGCATTCGCGAGACGATTATCCGAAGTATTTATAGAAGAAAAAAAACCGGAAAACACCAACTCATAAAATGCCAACTTTCCATCGAAATCAAAGATTTCAGAGAAAAAAATAGTAACTTGAACTGTTGAAACTTCCTTGTAAGTTGAAACGGTAATCTTGATTATTTATTGAGGAAACATTTATTTTTCTTACTATTAAATGTGTTGTGATGATCATAAAAAATCTCACTTACGACACAAAGACAATTCGAAGTGACACTACTTTTGTATTATTCGATATATGGCCCTTCTAGAAAGTTCCTACCATAGCTATACCAAGCTATACCATGGTAGAAACGTAATAAGACTCTCTTCAATGATAGCGAGCGTCGTGCCAATAAATCCGACAGTCAAATTCGGGATTATATTATTATTTTAAATGACGCGTGAGCTACCTGCTTCAATGCTACTTGTGCTCATAAGAGTTACAATACCAATTCTCGCAATAATAGGAACAACTGCGATCTCCAATGTCCTGTTTGCAGACATTTGTCATAAGGAAATTTCAAACCAAAACCTATTACGGTCGTTTAGATTAATTAAACGCTCTCTCGTAAACAAACAGACGATCTAAGTTCCGTCAATACATCAACACCGAGAAATCGCCCGGGAGACCTTGACATTCGCGGTTGACACATTGACCCACTCGTCACGATGGTTTGCATTCAAGCGACAGATAAACCTTCGACTTTCTGACAATTACATTAAATTGTTGTACAGTTTGAAAGGCAAATAGTCAACACCGTCTATGGTAAGAGCTACAAAACAAAAATCGTAGTTATAATATGAATTTTTATGTTATTTATTTTCGTTAGTTATAATTTATAATAGGCCCAATGGAAATTCCTAAATTAATCGTAAAAAAAGAAATTTAGGAACTAATTCCACTGAGTTTCTCGCCGGATCTTCTCAGTGGGTCCGTTTTCGATCCGATGGTAGATTCCGGCAAGCACTGCTCTTGCTAGTGCTAGTATTATCAAATTCGTCAAGTTAGAGGCCCGTGAGCTTATCCGAGCGAGTAGCTGGATGAATCTAGTATAGAGATCGGCAAAGTGCGGCTCTTTGAACTCTTGAGTGTGGCTCTGGCACAAATATCCTACGGGCTTGCCCGGCCTCTAATATCCGGCTGTAAACGAATAAGCCGAATTTGGTGGTAGGACCTCTTGGGAGTCCGCACGGGTAGGTACCACCACCCCGCCTATTTCCGCCGTGAAGCAGTAATGCGTTTCGGTTCGAAGGGTGCGGTAGCCGTTGTAACTATACTGAGATCTTAGAACTTATATCTCGAGGTGGGTGGCGCGTTTACGTTGTAGATGTCTATGGGCTCCAGTAACCACCTAACACCAGTTGGGCTGTGAGCTCGTCCATGCATCTAAGCTATAAAAAAAAATAAAAAAAAGCCGGCTAATAGTATGTAAGGTCATTTAATATCGGCACCCTTGACTGATATCGATTATTATATATTATTCGATTATATAATAATCGAAGCAGTATACAATATAGCGTTTATTTTATGATTTGCAATAATAATTTATTATAAAAAAATGTATTATTTCAAGAAAAATATATCTTTTTAATATTAAATAATTCTTATGGATTATTATAAATGAAATGTTGGCTCTTTAGCTAATAAGTTTGCCGACCACTGATCTAGTACGACCACTCGAGGTCACACCTACAATAGGTAGGCGAAACAAAATAGATACTATAAGGAACAAATCTACACAATGTCAGAATTAAGGACGGATCCAATTTTAAAAAAAAGCTTTATATAAATTCTTGTGTATTTTGTTTGTCTTTTCGGAACGACTTCCTTAACGTGACTAGCGGTAGCAGTTAACTGATAACAATCGTCACGTAACTAAAAAGCGTTATACCCCCTCTAGGCGATAGAAACAGATAACTCTTTCTATTACATGCAAGTGTACGTGCGAGTTTGGAGATTCAAGTATTATATGGGGCAGTTTATGCAAATAGCCTCAATATTCTATTTAGGATTTTATTTTATAAACTACTAACGACCCGCCCTCGCTTCGCTTCGGAAACTGTAATTTATTATTGATTTCTCTACTATTTAATGGATGTTATTATACATATACACCTTCCTCTTCAATCACTCTATCTATTAAAAAAAACCGCATCAAAATCCGTTGCGTAGTTTTAAAGATTTAAGCATACATAGGGATATAGGGACAGAGAAAGCGACTTTGTTTTATACTATGTAGTGATATGTTACTATTAAGGGAACCTTTTTGATTAAGGATACCTATCTAACAAAGTTATCTCGATCGCGCACTTTTTTTCTCTCCTATTTTATGCTGCCGAAGTAATAAACTAAAATTAGTGACGTAACGATACAAATCATTGGGCTTTGCAGTAAACCCGAAGATCTATATGTCTGAACAAATACATATCTGAAGGGTAATTTCAGTGGGATTATTCGCAGATACATACACATAGTGCAGTTACACCCAGGCCTCGCATACCAAATACCTTTAACAAAAAAGTACTAAATCTAGTCTACCATTACTATGGAAGATTAGATTTAGAATGATTTATTAGTACTATTATATAGTAGTATTAGATTTAGTAGATGTAGTATTTATGTCTACTGACAGTGTTTAAAATTCTACAGCTCATACGATACGTTTTAATGCCAGAAACAGATAAACTTATAAGGGTATTTAGGCCAACGATGTCCTCTCAGATTCTTTATTGTTTAATCATCTATTATTTTTAAGGACATGTTGACTATTTAACTCGTTTATTCAGCTTTCACCCGACGCAGAGACGGCGCGTGGGTAATCTCGAAACAATGGAATTCCTACACATTCGGCATTGTGGGAAAGCGAAGTCGATTTTACGTTCGGTGGTTTAGTTTCTGTTTGTTTACATTCTCACATGATGGAATCACTGATTGGAGTAGTGGGGCGTATTGAGAGTCCGCACGTGTGGGTACCATAACCAGGCCTGTTTCTGAAGTGAAGCTGCTATACAATACAATTGAGACTTTTTTTTATTTTTTGCCCTTGTAGACAGACGAACATACGGCCCACCTAATGGTGAGTGGTTACCGTCGCCCATGGACTTCAGCAATGCCAGGGGCAGAGCCAAGCCGCTGCCTACACTAACTTCGCAAATGTCTCAAGATCAGTAAGGGCATTCACGTATGGGCTCAAGTATTTAACCAGCTTACTGTCACAGCAACTCTGTCTCTTCCAGATGTTTTTTGCCACCGACCATCCGACTCAGGATTTAAGCCGCGGCGTTTCCAGAGCATTGTGTTGAAGGTGTTCGGATATCTATACATGACGCTGACACTCACCATCAGGCCGTAAGCTCGTCTGCCTTCGTGGGTAATAAATATAAGCTAAAACCAAATCCACGATCCGCTATTCATGAGGTGTATCACACGGCAGGTCCGCCGACGCGTTAATTACCGAGTTACGTTGACCTCGACAACGATTCCAACATTGAACTGTACATTCTCATAATTACTAATTACACTTCCTATTTTTGAGACTTCTCTTATTTGTTTGAAACTTGAAGATGTTTTTTTTTTTCCTACCTAAGCTGATGGCCTTGAGAGGTTATGTCAGCGTAATCCTAACGTGTAGGTGAGCTCTCGAGGCTCAAACCAGGCCCTGGGAAGAGCAGCGCTTCGCAGAATCTACCACCGAATCGGAAACGCGAAGATCCAGCGAGAAACTCAGTGGGATTTTATTTATCTATATATTAATACGTGAAGGAAAAATTTTGTATCTCTTTTTACAAAAATTGCGCGGACGGAGGAGTATGAAATTTCCCACACTTATAGAGAATATAGAGAAGGAGTGCAGAATGTTAATTTTTTTTTTTAATTATGCCTAAAATATTCATTAAATCAATAAAAAAAACATTACACACATTACCATGTATTTGACGCACACGTCTGTGGTCAAATTGAGAATAGATTAAATATTGTTTGTCTTTATTAATATTTTTCTATAGTGTAGGTTTGGCGAAATATGTGATTATAGAAGTATAATAGTGATTGAAAATAGAATCAAAATAGTGTAGAGACTTATAATTTCAATTAATTATAGTCGAATTTCGACTACCGGGCGACCTATAGTAATATATTTTATAAGCCGATCGACAATCGAAAGTTTGTGCTGAAATGGTTCTAATGAAATATTTATAGTTAGGACTCATTTGCCTTATAATAACTGTAGTTATTACGGAAAATTTATAGGCGTCTCGAAGTTGAATTTCGCCTTATTAGTAAACCGAGCATCACGTTACGCGCTGTTGAGGCATTCCCATAGACCAATTAATTCTGGCATTGGACACTAAAAGTGCCCAAAAAAAAATTATTTATTAGAAAACTAGCTGACTCGGACTTCGTAGTGCCTCAATCGACAAATAAAACACCTAAGCTTTTGTATAAACTTAAAACAAACAAAAGGAATCCGTCCGACGGGGGACACATCAAAGGGAAAACAAAATTGTTATTTTTATTTGATTCCGAGCATTTTCATATTTATCAAACCTTTTAAACCTTCTCTGGACTTCCACAAATAATTCAAGACCAAAATTAGCCAAATCGGTCCAGCAGTTTTCGAGTTTTAGCGAGACTAACGAACAGCAATTCATTTTTATATATATAGATTATGGCATACTTACAAAATAACCAACCAAAGGGCCTGATCATATTTTAGACTTCAACTAAGCAGCTTATATCGGTAATTAAAAAAACCTTCCAATAAAATCAGGATACTGTTCCAAGTAGAAGAAACAAACAATAAAAAAATACAATGTACAGTTTTTAGATTTAGCGCAGAAAGTCTAAATGATTCCGGGATTAAAATGTGTCCGTCCAAAAATTTTCAGAGACATATCTTACATAAAAAACAAATTAAAAACTCGAATTTTAGTTTCACTAGAGTGCAAATTAAAATTTGAACTTAAACAAAACATTTCGGTCTGAAGGGTAGGGCAGCCGTTGTAACTATACTGAGATTTTAGAACTTATATCTCAAGGTGGGTGGCGCATTTACGTTGTAGATGTATATGGGCTCCAGTAACCCCTTAACACCGGGGGGGTGTGAGCTCGTCCATCCATCTAAGCAATAAAAAAGAAAAAAATCTATCGAAATCACAAACAGACACTCCAATATGAACTATCTATATGTGAATAGAGAAATACAATACAGTTAGGTACCAATAACTCTTCTGTTTGTCAGCCACTTTCATTTTTTTTTTGTTTAATAGCTACGAATGAACCTAAATGTTTGCCGGAAAAATGTAACAAAACAAAGGAGAAAACGTAATACAAAAGACGAATTTATATCTTGCGTTATCCGTAATTATGGTCGAATTTCGAACGGCGAACGCTGGTTTGTATAATTGAATTAAATTTACATATAAATGCTCAATAGTTGCAGATTACAAACAACAATAATCAAATTCACTGTTACCACTCATGTCACATGACACGTTTGTGATCACGAAAAACTTCAAGTATTTTTTTATTTATTGCTTCGATGTGTGGACGAGCTCATAGCCCACCCGGTGTTAAGTGGTTACTGGAGCCCATGGACATCTACGACGTAAATGTGCCACCCACCTTGAGATATAAGTTCTAAGGTTTCAGTATAGTTACAACGACTACCCCACCCTTCAAACCGGGGAAATAGGCGGGGCGGTGCTACCTACCCGTGCGGACTCACAAGAGGTCCTACCACCAGTATACAGTATTAAACGTAATCGTATTGGAAATTTAAGAAAAGATTAAGCAAAATAAATTTAATTAATAAAATGAACTACATATACATATTGTACAATCAGAGCAGTCGACCAGTATGACCAGTTAGCCTTATCTGCAAACGGTAATGGCAATTTAAAAAAAAAAACATTTCCTAATCAGACACTAACTTATTCAAAAAATGCAACATCCTGAGACCTCAATAATAAACTCATATTCAGTTTATAATCGACATTGTGATTTTTTTCTTTCGAGTAAGGAATAATAACCCAATGTCATCGAAAAGTAAGGACTAAAGAATTCGAAATGTTAATGGCGTCATCCATCCTAATGTAGGTCGCATCGTAATCCACTCTCTACCACACAACATTATAAACAGTTATTAAATCTACAACCTCGTATCAACCGGTATTCACTGTGACCGCAACTTTAGTAAATAGTGCCTTTGAAAATCTACGCAAAAATTGCGTTTAAAACCCGCAAAGGGTGATTCATATTAACGTTTCGTTTTTACATATAAAAATTTATTAACGTTCATTCAAACAATTGTGAAATCTAAGATCAGTACGTTAAGTATCAGAATCGATTGCCAAACGGAATTAGTTTGCATAAAACAAAAAAAAAACGCTTCTCGGCATAGTTACGTTTCGCGGTTCGATGTGTGTGCACACATTACGAAAAATTTAGCTGTCATATTTAATTCGGTGTTTTTCCTTAAATATTTATAATGTCGATCGTCAAATCGATATTTTTCCTTATTTTAATGCTAATCGATAAGCCAGTGACACTATCGATAAACATTACCTCGACTCTAATCGGGCTACCAGAAGACGCAAGATTGAACTTCACGCAACTGGCCTACAAATATGGACTCGTCGTTAGAGAATATGAGGTGATCACTGAAGACGGATATATATTGAAACTCTTCAACATACAAGGGAATAAGAAACGACCTGTTTTACTTGCACACGGTATATTTGGAACAGCTGATATTTATCTGCTAAGAGGCAAGACGTCGTTAGGGTACATCCTAGCAAAACAGGGTTATGATGTGTGGGCACTTAACGTGCGAGGATCGAGGTATTCCAGGAAACATTTGACACTAGACCCTGATAAGGACAAGGCATTTTGGAACTTCAGCTTCCACGAGCACGGCTATTACGACCTACCGGCGAACATCGACTTCATCTTGCAGTCAACCGGCCAAAACCAGCTCAGTATTATCGGTATTTCTGAAGGGACCACCATAACTTTCGTACTGGCTAGTATGAGACCGGAATACAACGAGAAAATCAATGTATTCCTGGCTTTAGCACCGGTTGTGTATCTACAGAATTTGGAGCCTCCCTCTTCTATACTACTGCAATTCAGCGCAGAGATCAACGACCTTCTAACCGTATTGGGCTTCGAGGAGCTCTTTGGCTATAACTCAATATTTAAGGCGATTTACAACATAATCTGCGGTCAGAGAATCGGATACGACTTGTGTCTGAAAATAGGATTCTTCCCGGTGACCGGGGCGGATGCGGACGAACTAGAACCTGAGTTCTACTACACTACAATAGGACAGTTCCCGGACGGAACTTCGAGGAAGAATTTGGCTCATTACACACAGGTGGGTAGGAGAAGGATTTTCGCGCAATACGACTACGGGAGAAGGATGAACTTAGACATGTACCAGTCCGCTGCGCCGCCGGAGTACTCTTTAAACAGGGTGACAATCAAAGTGGTGCTTATTTGTGGGAAAAATGACAAACTGTCCACGTTAAAAGACGTTCAGATATTGAAGGATAGACTCCCTAATGTTATAGGTTTTCGTGTCATGGAATCGAATACGTTCAACCATTTGGATCACGTTTGGGGACGTAACGTACACAAAGTCTCTTATCCGTTTATCATTAAGACGCTAAGAAAGTTTAATTGAATTTAGTGAATTATAATTATTAAAGCAATGAATTAGTACAAAAATGTCGATTTATCGGTGAGTGTATTTTTTTAATCTTGTCCGGTATATAGTGTGTGTGTAAGTGTGAGTTCGCACGGATAGGTACTAAAATACCACCTTTTTTATTTTTTATTGGGTGGATGAGTTCACGGCCCACCTGAGGTTAAGTGGTTACCGGAGTCCATAGACATCTATAACGTAAATGACGCCACCCACCTTGAGATATAAGTTCTAAGGTCTCAGTATAGTTACAACGGCTGCCCCACCCTTCAAACCGAAACGCATTAATGCTTCACGGCTGCAATAGGAAGGTTGATGGTACCTACCAGTGCTGACTCATAAGACGTCCTACCACCAGTAAAACCCTACCTACTTCTGTCGTGAAGCGTTCTGGTTCGAATTGTAAGATATACGTTATACAATACAATAGACTTCGATTTAATGTATCACTATCGGCATTCACGTTGTGATATCTGTGGGCTCCACTAACCACTTAGCATCAGGAGGGCGATCGTGAGTTCATGCATGGAATTCTTCTAAAGACTTATGCATATTAATTGCGTTTGTTTATTCATAAAACGAACTAAATTGCTTTATTATATATGAGAAAGTAGATCATTCTTGATTTAATCGAATCCATCAAACTTTATTTAAGACTAGCTTTTGCCCGCGACGCCGTTCGCGTGGAATAGTTACTTTGGCATAACGCTACATTTTACCTCCGCTTCATTTACGTAGAAAGTGTAAATATTTTTGAATTGCTGAAGTCCATGGGCGACGGTAACCACTCACCATCAGGTGGGCCGTACGCTCGTCTGCCTACAAGGGCAATAAAAAAAAATTATATAATGTTAAGGAGCTATTTAAATCCCTATTTTGAAACATTATTTATTGGCGCTCCACTTGTATTGGCCTTACCGTGATGTTATAATATAGCCTATATATACCCTTCCTCAATAAATGGGTTATCTAATACTGAAATTTTTTTTCAAATCGGACTGGTAGTTCCTGAGATTAGCGCGTTCAAACAAACAAACTCTTCAGCTTTATAATATTAGTATAGATAAATAATACTTTATATTCAAATGGTTTTAAGGTTATTGCGATTTCGAAAGCTACAGAAATAACGTTTCACATTTGAATGTTTATCAACGCGTAAGCTGCGTTAGTTTAATTAATAAGGTTTTTATTAAATTATTATAATTATTACGAGCGGCAGGCAGCAGCTCGCCTGCGCCCCTGGCGTTGCTGATGTCCATGAGCATTAGCGACCGCTTAACATCGAATTGACTGTATGCTCGTCTGCCTACTAAGGCAGTAAAATCCTTAAAACATAGTCAGTCAATTTGTTTCGTAATTTTTATTGCATAGATTGGTGTTTTTTCCCCTACCTATGCCTATAGCCTTGAGAGGCTATTTCAGCTTCGCCCTAACATGTAGGTGTGCTCACGGGGCTCAAACCGCAGTGTTGCTAACACTGGTCCTAGTAAGAGCAGTGCTTCGCAGAATCTACCACCGGATCGGAAACGCGACCCACTAAGAAGATCCGGCGAGAAACTCAGTGGGCTGTGTCTATGGGATCGCGCTCATAGCCCACCGGTGTTAAGCGGTTACTGGAGCCCATAGACATTTACAACGTAAATGCGCCACCCACCTTGAGATATTAGTGCTAAGACCTCAGTATAGTTACAACGGCTGCCTCACCCTTCAAACCGAAACGCATTACTGCTTCACGGTAGAAATAAGCACCCGTGCGGACTCACAAGAGGTCCTACCACCAGTAATGTAAAATATTTTCACTTGAATTTTAGAGGTCTGTGACGTAACCTTTTTTAATATTTGCAATATTCGCTTGCTGAAATTGCTTCGTGGCAAAAAAAGACTGGACAGTGGTGCCTGCTCGTGTGAGCTTAATATATATACGTCCTGACACTAATAAATACCTAAATTACGTTTGTCTTGTTATTAGTATTGGGCTTGGGCTTACCTTGGACTTACCAGAACTTACTGGCTGTCTTATTGAAGCGATTTATTATCATCTATTAATACGTGAAGCAAAAACTTTGTAACAGTATGTAACGACTATAAGAATATTTAATAAGATACCAAACAGCATAAGAGATCTTCCACTAACTCAATTTAAAAGAAAATTATATTTATGGCTAATAGATAAGGCTTATTATAGTGTGCATAAATTTTTAAATGATAAGTGTTGTACATAATAAAGTATTAGAATAAGAAGTGATAGAATGTAAAAAAATATATATTTAGTAAATTTTGTGTTAAAATTAATATAAAAATAAGTTAAATTTTCGCATGACTAAACAGGCGAAATATATGAAACTATGTCCTATATCCACAATATCTTGTAAACTATATTTCTGGCGAATAAAAAATTTTCTTCTTCTTCTTCTTCAACACTTTTTACGAAAATTACGCAGACGGAGGACTATGAAATTTCCCACACTTATAGAGAATTATACATAGATTAATCAATCAAATCAATCAAAAGATTTAATCAATAAAAAAAGCATTACACACACTACCATGTATTTGATACAACACATATGTATATACATATTATATACTCTTTGTTTATTGTCAAACTTTTGTTATTGTTTAAAGTCTATAGTCAAATTGAGTATAAATTAATGTTTGTCCTTGTCTATAGTGTAGTCTTGGTGAAATCTGTGAGAAGTACATATAATTAGTCTTTGACAATAGAACCATAATAATGTTCAAACTTAAAATCTCAATTACTTATAGTCAAATGTCGACTACTGAGGGGACCACTAGTTATCAATAAAACAAAAGAGAAAACTGTAATGAATAAACAAGTCTAAGCTTTGTGACCACTATTTAAGGTCGAATTTCGATTATCCCCCGAACACTTGTCAATACAATCAGGTGACAATTAGAGGTGAAGTTTGATCGTGCTATGGTTTATAATTGTATTGTGCAGTATGCTTGGAATCACATTTCTTCTTCTATTTTATGTATAGTAATTGATTTACTAGAGGTCCCACAGTAGTCGAAATTCGACTTAATTAATTGGAATTGTAAGTTTGTAAACTATTATAATTGTATTTTATACTTCTATAATCACAAATTTCGCCAAGACTACGCTATAAAAAATAATAACAAAGACAAACAATATTTAATCTATTCTCAATTTGACAACAGACGTCAAGAACAAAAGTTTGTCAATACATAGTATGTAGTGTGTGTAATGTTTTATTTATTGATTTAATGTATCTTTTATGCATTATTTAAAAAAATATTAGCATTGTGCACTTCTTCTCTATATTTTCTATAAGTGTAGAAAATTTCATACTCCTCCGTCCGTGCAATTTTCGTAAAAAGGGATACAAAGTTTTTGCTTCACGTATTAATATATAGATAATACGAATGCACCGGACGTCTTATCCTTTTAGGCCACGACGACTTCGAACTTATTTTTACTGTCAGTAAAAGTTTTGATTATTCATTAAGACTTTGTCAGTGAAGTTGTAGGAAGAGCACTTGTTAATAAGCCACCGTTATGACACAATTAAATCTGAAGAAACACTAAATTCACTAAATAAAACAATTCACACAACTTCGCTTTTCGCGTTCCCGCCAAATATTTAGAATCACGTTTTTTCTCTTTGCAAATGTACCTACGCGTAGAACCATTAGTGAATCAAAATTTAAATTAGTAATTGCAATTTTTTAGCGTTATAATTACGCGTCCCAGAATCAAACCAATTCATAACTATTAGAAGGTACAAGCAATAACTTCAGTTTGCACAGTCGTGTGAGAATCTGTCGAGTTATGCAAATGGCGACATCGGAGGTCCTTACAATGTTGGCTGTATGGACTGAGTTTCCTTTGCTTGAACCAGGACGAAAAAAAACTGTAGTGCTGGTATTTTCAACCCCCTGACCCCGCCAGGATTTCGACCTGGGGGGATCGGATGATTGGACGATAGTGCAGGAGGGTATTTTTAACTCCTACCGCCGACATTTTTCTTTTTGTTTGTGTGCAGCGCAGAATAGAAAATTCCCCCTTACTACCTTAATCCCCCCCTCCGCACTAAGATCAGCTACCTGCGGCCCTCACTACCATTGATTTATTCCCGTCTTTTATTTCTCCACGCCTGTTCAGATACCTAATTTTATTCAAGACATACATAAAAACAGCTGCAAAAAGTTATTACATGTATACTAATAAGTGTTTAATTGTAAGTTATTAATGCTCAAAAGTTTTCCGAACTTGTCTTCCAGTTCCAAGGTCGACGCTCCGTTGCTAAGTAAAACCTAAATATGTTGTATTTACTTACCGGCTACAATCCAAACGCCGAACCGAACCCACGTCATGTAGTCTAGGTTCAACATCAGATACACGTTGATCAATATGCTGAGGCCGGGCAGCCACGGCACCAGCGGCACCTGCGACCAACCACACCAACGCACTGTCATACACAGCACCGAGAGAGCATATCGCACCTTCAGAATTAATAAATAAATAAATAAAATAAAAAACCTTTTATTTCCTGCTAAAATACAAAGTAAATAGGTATTTATTAATTGTATGTTTGGCAGGAGCCCATTAAACATGGTGAAGGCCTCCTCCAAGTCCTTCCATTTGGTTCTATTTTGGGCTACCTGTATCCATCGAGGGCCAGCAATAGCTTTTATATCGTCCTCCCGTTTTGATATCGGGCGACCCTTTTTTCTTTTCCCTTGTGACCCTTCCCATGCAGTTATTCTTGCAGTCCATCCTCTGGTCTTTAAGTCGTGCTACATGACCAGCCCACTTCCGCTTCAACTCCTTTAGAGTTATAGAGACCCATTTCGAAATTTTTTAATTTCGTCTTTTAATTAAAAAGTGGACCTAGAACGACCCTTTTCAGCGACTCTTAGTAATCAAATGACCAGAAGTAGCGTATAAAGGGACAAAACTATCCATCGGTCTCTTTCACTCCGCCCCTTTCTTCAACGTTCTTTTCGGTTTGAGAACTTTAATCGACGTTTTCCGAAAAACGCATTTTTGAGTTGAGTCTTTAGAATTCTAAAGGTGCGAGATATAGGGATCTGCAGTAGACAGCAGAGACCTGTAGTAGACAACAGGGGACAGCAGTAGACTATAGAGGGTTGCAGTAGACGACAATGAATTGCAGTAGCTTTTATGGAGTACCCTAGAGTTGAAACTCAACTTACTGTAACGGATTGATAACATCGCCATTTAGTGTCGTGTCTAGTGATTTTTTTTAATGGGATTTTATTACCTGGTAACTAAGACCTTTAAGTCATGTCTTATTTTAATTGATATTCTTATTTTTATGAAAAATGATAATATGCAGTGAAATGAAGATGATTAATTAAAATTTTGAAAATTACCCGGTTACTTACTGTAACCGGATTAGTAAACTAACTAACTATTAGTGAACTAATCCGGTTACAGTAACGTTGTTGAGTGGAATGGAGTGATAGAAAAAATCATACGGAAAAAGCGAGTTTCTTCTCGGACACCGGCTGCCTCGAGATGCAGCACAGCGTGGCCACCACCAGCGCCGTGGCCAGCAGCAGCAGCGCCGTGTACCCGCCGTGCCCCTCCAGGACCCGGTCGCCGTAGCTATTGACGCACCACATCATCAAAAAGCACCATACCCCTGAAATCAATTCACCAATCAACATCGGAATCGTCTTTTATTCTACCGTAATTATACCGTGGATTGTTTTTAGTGTCTATGGGCAAATATTCTTCAGAGAGACTTGGTGTCAGCTGCTGGACAAAGATGTAATATGAATGAACACCGCAATCCCAGCCCGAGACGAGGCCGATCCACTAACGGTGCTTTTAGGTGCCCCAAGCAACGGTCACCGCCCCACGAGTAAACTAACCCACAGACACAGCCCACTGAGTTTCTCGCCGGATCTTCGCAGTGGGTCGCGTTTCCGATCCGGTGGTAGTCTGCGAAGCACTGCTCTTGGTAGGGCCAGTGTTAGCAACGACGTCTGGTTAGAGCCCCGTGCATAGGGCCCTGAAACTGCGATGCTTTAAGACTGTCGATGCACGGACATCGACGAACGCGCGGCGCGGGTGCCAAGGGTTGGGGGGAGGTGTGAAGTGGCGGTTATTGTATAACTAAACTCAGACAATAATGCCATCAACAGGAGCAAGGAAACTAATCGAAGCGAGGCCATCTAGTGGCCGACGCCCGTAATCATTTTTTTTGGATGCCTGAGTTGCTTATCTTTAACTAATTTATGTGTATTATCTATGCCCATAGCCTCACCTACTTGCTCAGTGAATTTGGTATAACCTCTCGAGGTTACTACAATAGGTAGGAAAAAAGCCGCAGTTACCGTAGAGCGTGACCAGCACGGTGACGGTGGTGGCAGTGCGACGCGAGGGCGCGGCTCGCTCGGCGCCGGCGCGCTGCGGACTCGCCTCGTATCTGTACAATCACAGCATGTCACTCACACGACACTAGATGGCGCTGTCGTCAAAATTTCTAATAAAACATTTTTGCGTACTAGATGGCGCTGTTATCAATATATTTTGTTTAATATCAAAAATTTGTCTTGTGTTAGAAAACATGTATAATAAAATTTAAAAAAAGATTTCTTTATTCTCACCTAAGTAGTAAAACGCAGGATGCGACCATAGAATACGCCAGTAAGGTGCCGATGGACATCATGTGAATCAGCTGCTCCAGTTTGAATATCATGGCCAACGTACCTGATTTTCAAACTGATTGTTAGCAATATTTAAAAAAAATTATCTGCAAAAACAAATATTTTGGTCAATTGCTACAAATATTGTGCTCTATTTATATTCATTGGTTCACAAACTTTTTTGTACGTTGTTGTAGTTTGTAACCTGTTAGGCGGGGTACATTCAGAATAGTTGAGCTCCTCAACCTGGGACCTTTGAAATCACACCCTGTATCATTTAGAGTCCTGGAGGACGCTGAATGTCAGCCGTGGGTACACTGACCGGTGAGGAAGCCGGCCGTGATGGTCCCGACGAGCGGCGTCTGGTACTTCTCGTTGACGCGGCCCAGCCACCGGAACAGCAGCCCGTCCGACGCCATCGCGTAGATGATCCGCGGCAGCGGGAACACCGCGCCCATCAAACTGAACGACACAACACACGTTGTCATGTCAGCGCACTGAGCACGACAGGCACATTGTCATGTTAGTACACTAAGCCGGCATCTCGTTTTTACCATCGCACCGCCCGCCACCGGAGTAGAGTTCATCCATACTACCTGGAGCCACTGCGGTCACCCACAGTGCGTTTCCAGAGGTCTTTTTTGCCACGTACCATCCGGCTATGGAATGATCTCCCCTCCACGGTGCGAGCGCTATGATATGTCCTTCGTCAAACGAGGCTTGTGGAGAGTATTAAACGGTAGGCAGCGGCTTGGCTCTGGCCCTGGCATTGCTGAAGTCCATGGGCGACTGTAACCACTCACCATCAGGTGAGCTGTATGCTCGTCTGCCTAGAAGGGTAATAAAAAAAAACTAAGCACGACAGTCACATTGTCATGTCAGCACACTGGGAACGTCACTAGTCGTTCAGTTCTTAATCAAAGTGTAGTAATACTACTCGACGGTGGGCTGAGCTTGCTTTACACTCTCTGCTAGCACTGACATATTTTGATCAAAATGTCTATTAATAATTTTATAAAAAATAAACGTTTCGCTAATTAATATTGCGTCATAAGCGAACCCGACGTGCCCCTAGTGGCAAGCTCAAACAAACTATGTTCTAAATTTGGAAAAGATATAAAGAATTAAGTTTTTTGAATTATTTTATATATAATTAAAGAATAAGAAAAATGCATTTTATTACCTTGAACACAGGGCGCATATGGCTCCAACACTGACCGCATACTTAGCCCACGGCCAGCCTAGACGATCGTATACAAACGGGAATGGCGCTTTTTCGTCCTAAAATAAAAAATTGCAATTTTTTTGGTACAAGACACAGAATGTATTAAACAGCGGCGAGGGGAGCGCGGGAGGGGGGCGCGGGAGGGGAGCGAGGGAGGGGAGCGCGGGAGGGGAGTACGGGAGGGGAGCGCGAGAGGGGAGCACGGAAGGGGAGCGCGGGAGGGGTGCGCGGCGCGNGTATACAAAGGGGAATGGCGCTTTTTCGTCCTAAAATAAAAAATTGCAATTTTTTTGGTACAAGACACAGAATGTATTAAACAGCGGCGAGGGGAGCGCGGGAGGGGGGCGCGGGAGGGGAGCGAGGGAGGGGAGCGCGGGAGGGGAGTACGGGAGGGGAGCGCGAGAGGGGAGCACGGAAGGGGAGCGCGGGAGGGGTGCGCGGCGCGGGGGCGCGGGTACCTGCAGGTAGTAGGGCAGCACGAGCGTGAGCACGCAGGACACGCCGCAGTAGGCCAGGAACACGACGAGCAGCGAGCCCGCCACGGCCGCCGGGATGCTGCGCTGCGGGCGCCGCGCCTCCTCGCCCGCCGTCGCCACGCAGTCGAACCCTGCACAGCGCCGCCGTGAGAGCGCGTCCACCCCGCGCGGGGGCGGGCGCGCTGCTGTACCGTACCGATGAACCCGTAGAAGCAGACGGCGGCGCCCCGGATGATGCCGGCGAGTCCGTAGGGCGCGAACCCCCCCGTGCCGTAGCTGCGCCCCTCGTCCTTGGGCACCTCCGACTCCGGAATGCGCCAGTTGCTCGTGTCCGCTGCGGGCACAACATTTACCTTTACATATCCTTCTCATTTGAATAAGCTCTGACGTGGTTTAAGCCTTTGATTATTATCCAAAGTACGAGGTCAATGCCCTCGCGATTTTGAAGTGAAAGTTCTTTAGGCGCATGAGGGTAAATTTTTTACAAATGTAACGCCACGCAGGTATGCAACGGAAGTGTCGAAAAAGAGAGAGAGAGCGATCGAGACCTATTGAGAGAGAGTAAGACAGGGCGAACGTAGCATGAAGCAACTAGCCATGGAGTAAGAGTAGGGAGCAAGCAAGTGAGAAATCGAAAGAAAAAGTGAAACAGAATGCTCAGTTCCTACATACTTTAAAACATACGTATAAAGTATTTTATTTTAAATACAGCGCCATCTATGAGATGTTTTAATACTAGCGTGTGTATGAAACCTCTTGTAGTGAATTTTAATCTAGAATATACGTGAAGTTAAAATATCAATTCACAGAGGGCGCTACCTCATACTATAAAAGGTGTTTTACAATTATTTACTAATGACAAAATTTTACTAATAATATACTTAGACATTTAGGATAATTGTATTTTAATTTTTGAAGGTTTCACTTCTAACACGTGTGAATTGCACCCATGTCATTTTTTTTTTGCTATACATTGCTGGCTCACTAAATAGAGTTAGGCTTAAAAAAAAAGACTAAAACTTAGATTGGCAAACGGATGTCGCTTTCTGATTATTTCGAATTAATATTATCCTTACAGCTTCCATTGTGTGCGTCAGCAGATTTAGCTTAGATCTTGTTGGAATATTAGTTTCTCTATGAGCACATTGAGTCTATGTGTTTATACGTAGAGTTACCCTTAAGCGAGCCGGAGACGATGACGAAGAGCACGACGCAGAGGTTGATGGCGGTGCACACGTTGTTGAACTTCGTGGACTCCTTCACGCCGAACGACAGCGCCACTGCGCACGCACAGACAGACACACTTAGTATTGCGAAATGTTTATAGAGATATATCAATCGACTGTTGGTTTGTTCCGTCGATCGTTACCGAGTCTTTGAAGTCGGTGATGCAGTTTTCATTAGTACAGACTTAACCCTTTGACCGTTGTGTAAGTCACAGGTGCCCTACGCGGCGCACTGAAGTACTTATGTCGATTTTTGTTACTAAGTCGCCTGGATTGCCTAACTTTACCTTTTTTTGTTTCTTTATGTACATTTTAGTCTTTTAGAAATAAATTCTCAGTATCTTCGAACTCGTCTTTCTTAAACTCTACTAGATATTCCGGCGTCTTAGAAACAGAAATCGATATAGTTACTTCAGTGCGCCACGTAGGGTACAGGTGACCTACATGGCAGTCAAAGAGGTATGGTAAGTGCGTATTAGAATATTTTAGATCTGTCTGCGGGATTCGAACGCCAGCCGTCGCGTCACTCGATACGTGCTCAGCAGCCGCCATATCCTTCAGGCCAGAACTTGTCAATGGTGCGCTGTGGCTCCGGTGCGCCCCTCGTGAGTCGTGGAGATGAGAGGGGGAAGGAGTCCCCGATGACAAACCCCGCCCAACGTAACATTGGGGCAGAAGCCGGCAAAAGCGGGCTCGTGGTGCGCACATGGCAGTACCTGGGTTCCCGATCAGCCGGAGTGAAGGAGTTTGATGGGGTTTAGTGGGTAGTCGTTCAGCCGGGCGGTATTGGCGAGAGCTGAGCTCAACTCGGCTCGCCATATATACTTGAGACTTTAGAACTTATATTTCAAGGTGGGTAGCGCATTTACGTTGGGGATGTCTATGGACTCCAGTAACCACTCAACACCAGGTGGGTTGTCAGCTCGTCCACCCATCTATGCGATAAAAAAACTGAAGGCGTAGTCTCCTATGACCAATTAGGAGGGGACATCTCGGTCCGCGACCTCTTTTTCACCGGAGGCGCGGAGTCCCACACAACCCGGCACCGACCCCTGTCGGCCGGGTATCCGTAAAGTGAGATTTCCCAGAGTTAAAAAAAGTATAAGCTAAAAAGCCCTACCTTTTTTTTCCTTCCTAAGCTGATGGTCTTAAGTGACGATATAAGCGTCACCGGGCGAGTAGGTGAGTTCACGGGGCTCAAACCTGACGTTGTTGCTAACACTGACCCTAGCAAGAGCCGTGCTGCACAGAATCTACCACCGGATCGGAAACGCGACCCACTGAGAAGATCCAGCGAGACTCAGTGGGCTGTGTCTGTGGGTTAATTTACTCGCCGAGCCCTTCGACGAGATCCTCACCAGAGAAAGCCATGATGACGGAGAAGGCGAAGACGTCGGGGTAGTCGGCCAGGTGCGGCGAGTCGATTGGCAGCGCCGCCTCCAGGTGCGACGAGATCGCCTTGTTCAGCAATGAGTCCAGGTACTCGCTCAGCGCCTTCACCACCGACGCCGCGCCTGAGGCGTCACCAACCAATACATCCAACACTTTCAACAACTACCGTCTAATATTATAAATTAGCTGCATAGCTGACCCGGCAGACTTCGTAGTGCCTCAATCGATAAATAAAAGACCTAAACTTCTGTATAAAGTAAACTTAAAACACACAAAACGAATCCGTTCGACGCAACGGGGGACACATCGAAGAGAAAACGAAATTGTTATTTTTATCTAATTCCGAGCATTTTCATATTTATCTACCTTTTAAACATTCTCTGGACTTCCACAAATAATTCAAGACCAAAATTAGCCAAATCGGTCCAGCCGTTCTCGAGTTTTAGCGAGACTAACGTACAGCAATTCATTTTTATATATACAGATTACTAGCTGCGTCCGTCCGCTTCGCAGGGCATTTAAAATTAACATTATTATTTCTCACCCCCACAAATATTCTCATCATTAACGGCCCCGCAACTGGTGTAGGGAGTCCAACACTCATATAAATATTAGCCTATCCATTAAGTACATGTATTTTCTACATGTATACCAAGTTTCAAGTCAATCGGATACATGGTTCACTAGTTATAACGGAACATCCGTAAAAACCACTGTAGATTTATATATTAGTATAGACTAAATGTTACAACTGAAAAACACTCTTGAAAACCAACCCATGTTTGACTGAGATTGTGGTGAATGCTTTTGTATCCCTAAGCATTGCAATTCTATTAAAACATCTAAATAAATCATTCGAATCTAGTGACGGGACACAAAGTTAATTAACATATAACATTACACATAAAACGACTTTTTTTTCCTACCTAAGCTGATAGCCTTGAGAGGCTATTTCAGCGTAACCTTAACTAGTATGTGAGCTCACGGGGCTCAAACCAGGAGGCGTTGCTAACACTGGCCCTAGCAAGAGCCGTGCTTCGCAGAATCTACCACCGGATCAATTACGCGACCCACTGAGAAGATCCGGCGAGAAACTCAGTGGGCTGTGTATATGGGTTAATTCGCTCGTCGAGCCCTTCGTCGCAAGCGACGGGTTCGACGAGAACGGTGACCGGTGCTTGTGGTACCTAAAAGCACCGTTAATGGATCGGGAGGATCCGTAATTACCGGCGACCACGAAAAGAGGATTCGATGACTTACCTATAATATATTCGAGTATGAGATTCCATCCTATTATGAAAGCTATGAACTCGCCCACGCACACGTAGCTGTACACGTACGCCGAGCCCGCCTTCGGCACGCGAGCACCGAACTCAGCATAGCACAAGCCTGGAAATTAGAAAAATAAATGTCTCAAATAAAATCTCAAAATCTAATAGATAATGTTTCATGACTCGGCTTTAGAGACACTGAAACTTTATTAAATAACTTATAATATTTTTTTATTACACCCACACACATACCCTCTTACTCTCACTAACTTTTGTTAATTGTAATATTTTAAGCTCACATATTGTCACTTTTGGGCAATTTATGAATTTCAGTGTAATTTTTGTCTAGTAATTTTGTATTTTTGTGTATTGTATTATTTTGTATATTTGGTATCTGAAGATTTTAAGTAAAGCTGATGTTTTCTCTGTAAGAGGAGCAGTGGTGCTTGAGATACAGATTTTACCACCTAGTTCAAGCACAGATGCAAATTATGATTGCATTTTTACTTCTATGCTAACATAAGTAAATAAATATTTAAAATTTAAAAACGTTTGAAGACTTTTCAATTACAATTGGTATTTTGGAAATGGAATTTTCAATTAAATTAAAATTAGTTTTTTCTAAACTTCAAACTGAAAGGTACCGTGAGCTCTATCAGATAGGACCACAATTACCCTGACAAGAAGTTATTAATTCCCCTTGGAATGGGGGACCGCAGTCTATATATATAAAAATGAATTGCTGTTCGTTAGTCTCGCTAAAACTCGAGAACGGCTGGACCGATTTGGCTATTTTTGGTCTTAAATTATTTGTGGAAGACCAGAGAAGGTTTAAAACGTAGATAACTATGAAAATGCTCGGAATTAAATAAAAATAACAATTTTGTTTTTCCTTTCACGTGTCCCCCGTCACCGGGCGGATTCCTTTTGTTTGTTTTAAGTTTATTTTATACAAAAGCTTGGGTCTTTTATTTATCGATTGAGGCACTACAAAGTCTGCTGGGTCAGCTAGTTTTAAAATAAAACGAAAATATCGACCTTATGCCTTAAGACAGCAACCACGTTGTAAAATTTATGGGCTACAGTACTTATAACAAGATAAGCTGCGAGCTCGTCCACCCGCCAAACAAAAATTAACATCACTAGACAATGAATTGAATTTTCGTTTTATCCTACCGCCTCCAATTAACTTCAGTTCAGTCTATGGTCTTGTAATTAAAGTGGACAGCGGAAATTACAACAACATATCTTAATCACGTATCGAAAGTAATTGATAGAGTCAGTAAAATATATTCCACCGCTCAGGATGTTTGCTTGCTCTACATACGCTCCGAATGTGGTTGTTCGGAACTTGTATATAGGCAAGATTATCGTGTAGTTAGCCCGAATCAGGCTTCTGTCGGATATCTAGCGCTCTATGATAACTATCGCTTGAATAATAATTAAATACTATTAAAACGCCGGTAAACGCAGCGTTGGGCGTCCCCCTGCCCGCTGGACCGATGACTTGCGGCGATATGCTGGGAGAGATTGGATGCGGAAGGCGGAGGATCGTTCATTGTGGCGGACTATGGGAGAGGCCTACATCCAGCAGTGGAGAGATACAGGCTGATGATGATGATGACTATTAATAATCTAAATATAATTAAATCTCTTTACTAATCAATTAAGATGCGAAACTCGTCCTGCCACGGTCACAAGTTTCAATACCAGCGGTGGTCAAAACACACTCCTATACCACTTTTGACCTAAAGTTCAAATACCACCCGTATTTTGAAATAAATTCTGGTAACTGGATACAACGTACCAATCCTTCGTAAATTGTAAGATCACACTCGAAAACTCACCTGCAAACACACTAGCCACTGCGGCCAGCAAGAATGATATGACCACAGCCGGTCCAGCATAGTTCTTGGCCACGTCACCAGCTAACACGTACACTCCGACTCCTAGAGTGCTGCCGACCCCTAACGCTGTCAGATCGAAGGCGGTCAAGACTCTTGCCAGTCTGGCCGCGCCTTCCTCGGCAACCTTACGTCGAGAGAGGACCTGGTACGCGAGCCGGGCTGCATGAGTCGCCCCGGCTTTTATACCACCTAGAAGAAAAAAAGAACTTCAGTAAATTTTGGAAGACTTTATAACTTTTTTTATTGCTTAATTGGGAGGATGAGCTCACGGCCCACCTAATGTTAAGTGGTTACCGGAGTCCATAGACATCTACAACGTAAATTCCGCCACCTACCTTGAGATATGAGTTCTAAGGTCTCAAGTATAGTTACAACGGCTGCCCCACCCATCAAACCGAAACGCAGTACTGCTTCACGGCAGAAATAGGCAAGGTGGTGGTACCTACCCGTGCGAACTCACAGTATGTCCTACCACCAATAAGACTTTTAAGACTAAGACCACTAAGACTTTACACAAATCTCAAACATGTGTTGGACATCCCACTATCTAGAAAATAATATATTGAGACCGACCACATGAATGTATTCACTGGAAAATTTGTAGTAATATTTCAATATGGTTCGTTTATGTTTTTATAAGCGCAATCATAACTTTTTTAAACTAAATTAACTAAAAATAGCATGAGTACGTATATTTTAACAACGTGTTCCACATATTAATACTAATTGAAAAAGTGTACAAAAGAACCACAAAGTGACAATGACATAGTATATAACCACCGTCATTAAAAGAGGAAAAAAACGCTGTATAAATAAAGTTTTCATCAACTAAAATATAGTTATAAAGATTGTGACGTCATGTCAGTAGTGGCAATGTAAAAGGGCTTAAGTCGCTTTTTTTTTCCTACCTAAGCTGATAGCCTTGAGAGGCTATTTCAGTGTAACCGTGGCTAGTAGGTGAGCTCACGGGGCTCAAACCTGACGACGATGCTAACACGAACCCTAGCAAGAGCCGTGCTTCGCAGAATCTACCACCGGATCGGAAACGCGACCGACTGAGAAGATCCGGCGAGAAACTCAGTGGGCTGTGTCTGAGAGTTAATTTACTCGTCGAGCCCTTCGTCGCAAGCGACGGGTTCGACGAGAACGGTGACCGGTGCTTGAAGTACCTAGAAGCACCGTTAGTGGATCGGGAGGATCCGAGATGACGTGTTTTGGGCGACGTCGACTGCTTTCCATTCTGTCCGCAGGATNTTTACTCGTCGAGCCCTTCGTCGCAAGCGACGGGTTCGACGAGAACGGTGACCGGTGCTTGAAGTACCTAGAAGCACCGTTAGTGGATCGGGAGGATCCGAGATGACGTGTTTTGGGCGACGTCGACTGCTTTCCATTCTGTCCGCAGGATCGGGAATGGGGCTTAAGTCGCATCAATTCCTGAACCTCTCTTGAACACTTTCATGTACATACAATTGATAGTTTGTTTAGAAAGCAAGTCACAAAGTAATCATGGCAATCAATAGCCTTTCACTTGTCTGCAAAAAAAAAACTTTTGATCACTAAATAAAGTGTCTTTTAACAAAAATCAAGCAAAACGGCATACTTTTCGTTACGGCCATAACATAGTTTCTACAGATAAAAACGTTGACTAATATTTTTAGCAATGAGAAGTAGACGATGAGTTGTCGATCACGAGTATGCCTATTTCTGCCGTGAAGCAGTAATGCGTTTCGGTTTGAAGGGTGGGGCAGCCGTTGTAACTATACTAGAGACCTTACAACTTATATCTCAAGGTGGGTGGCGCATTTACGTTGTAGATGTCTATGAGCTCCAGTAACCACTTAACATCAGGTGGGCTGTGAGCTCGTCCACTCATCTAAGCAATAATAAAAAAAAATGTTTCACCTGACATTCCGAAAATCGTATAGTTTACGATGTGGATTTCCAAAACCCTACCACCACCCTTGGACTAAGTACAGTCTCGAATGAATCAACCTGATGGTTTTATGCTTGCCCTAATTCTTCGTTTTGTCCTTCAAGAAGAAACACTGTCGATGATCTCTTCATACTTCACCACACGCCCTTCCACCAGTACCAATGTACTTGCTCCAAAACATATTCTTTTCTAACCACAACTTATATCTTGTTTTGGTTTAAAAAAACAGGGATAAGTCTCCTTAAAGATAAAAAATTTCTAAACTACACAATGCGATTATTATTTCTAGAAAAGTTAGTTTATGGTAAATTCTTCTTCGTGCATTTATAAATCGTTCTTAGCGGCAAAATGTTGCCGGGATATGCCTAGGTATATAGGAGCGCATCATCTACATCAACGCGAGCGTCGACAATTACTATTAACGTGCGTTAGTTGTTTGAACGTTACTATATTTTGAAGTCGTCGTGGCCTAAAGGATAAGACGTCCGGTGCATTCGTATCGAGCGATGCACTGGTGTTCGAATCCCGCTGGCGGGTACCAATTTTTCTAATGAAATACGTGCTCAACAAATGTTCACGATTGACTTCCACGGTGAAGGAATAGCATCGTGCAATAAAAATCAAACCCGCAAAATTATAATTTGCGTAATTACTGGTGGTAGGACCTCTTGTGAGTCCGCACGGGTAGGTACCACCGCCCCGCATATGTCTGCCGTGAAGCAGTAATGCGTTTTGGTTTGAAGGGTGGGGCAGCCGTTGTGACTATACTGAGACCTTAGAACTATATCTCAAGGTGTGTGGCGCATTTACGTTGTAGATGTCTATGGGCTCCAGTAACCACTTAACACCAGGTGGGCTGTGAGCTCGTCCACACATCAAAGCAATAAAAAAAAGCTTTTGTTTTATTGACATCGATCGTATTAATTCATTAATTAACATTCAAAAATACTTTAAGTACCACCAGGGTGGGCATTATGCGTTTCGGTTTGAAGGGTGGGGTAGCCGTTGTAACTATACTGAGACTTTAGAACTTATATCTCAAGATGGGTGGCACATTTACGCTGTAGATGCCTATGGGCTCCAGTAACCATTTAACACCAGAGGGCTGTGATCTGTTCCACCCATCTAAACAATAAATAAATAAAAAATACTTTATATTATCTTAAAATATTATATTTCTGCTAATAAGAAGCACACCGAACAATAGTTAATAATGTAATAAATTCAGAATTAAAACTACTTTTAGAAGAAATAAAGTTATTCAAACGTATTGTAACAAAACAGACGGTAGTTAGCAAAATATTCAATTGTCGACGAAGAACAGACAACACAACGACAGAAACAATGCGATGACAATAAGAAACGCCAATATAAGCCGTGAAATTTTTGTAAGATTCGTGAAAACCGAATAATAATATTATACAAGTAATACTATTATATAATAAATACTTAACATAACATTGGATCATTAGAAATCTATGTAAATTTTGTTGCGTCCAAGAAACAAAATGAAAATACTATTTCAATGCGTTAGAAATATGATTTAACGCCTTCATAGGCGTATCTATTTTACCGGACAAATGCGGCAGCCTTAATATAGGTTTGTATGTTAGACGTGTATATTTTATGTATATTATGGGTATGTGCATAGAATTTTGATGTCGTCGTGGCCTAAAGGATAAAACGTTCGGTGCATTCGTATCTTGCGATGCATCGCTGTTCGAATCCCCGGCCAGTACCATTTTTTCTAATAAAATACGTACTCAACAAATGTTCACGATTGACTTCCACGGTGAAGGAATAATATCGTGTAATAAAAATCAAACCCGCAAAATTATAATTTGCGTAATTAGGTGGTGATAGGACCTCTTGTGTGTCCGCACAGGTAAGAACCACCACCCTACCTATTTCTGCCGTGAAGCAGTAATGCGTTTCGGTTTGAAGGGTGAGGCAGCCGTTGTAACTATACTGAGACCTTAGAACTCATATCTCAAGATGAATGGCGGCATTTACGTTGTTGATGTCTATGGGCTCCGGTAACCACTTAATATCAGGTGGGCCGTGAGCTCGTCCACACATTAAAGCAAAAAAAATATCATTGATCTTATGGAAATTATCATTGATCTTATTTATTATTATTATCTTATTTATTTTTTAAACCTATGGAACATTGGTTCTTTTTCTCTATCTGTTCACTATTAGCCAAGGGACTATTCCGACTACGCGCAGATATATTTCTAATGTTAAACACAAAATTGAATCATTAGACCCCTAAGCACCGGTCACCTTCCTTGTCGAGCTGTCGAGCGAACTAATCCATAGACACATCCCACTGAGTTTCTCACCGGATTTTCTCAGTGAGTCGCGATTCTCATCCGGTGGTAGATTCAGCGAGGCACTACTGTTGCTAGGGTTAGTGTTAGCAAATTCTCTAAGGTTGAGCCCGTGAGCTCACCTACCCGTCCAGGCTGGAATAGCCTCTTAGGCGAATAGTTAGGGAAAAAAAGACATTTGATGCGTTTTTAAAATTCAGTTTAAAACCTCATATTGTAATAAAATCAGTCGTAAACTTTATAAATTTGCGTAATCACAGATGGTGGCTCTGCATCATAGGTCGTGAATATTCGAATAAAACTGAGGCATTCACGATTATGTTCGTGACTGTCCGCTTAGCAACAGAACGTTTGCGACAGTAATTAACAAACCATTCGTTTTAATCATAAATATTATCAACTAGATATTAAAGAACACAAGATCAGTTGTAACAGAAAATGAATCCGTTCAGATTACAACACCGATTCTTCTTAGAACTCTGTGGCTCTTTGTGGAACCAGTAGTAGTTGTTTTGACATTCATACATGTTATGATTACATTTCTTAGAAGTTGAAATAAAATTAATATGAACTTGAATACACTATAAATAAAAATATTATAAAGCTGAAGAGTTGGTGTTTATTTGAACGCGCTAATCTCAGGAACTCCTGGTCCGATTTGAGAAATTCTTTCAGGGTTAGATAGCTCATTTATTGAGGAAGGATATAGGCTATATAACATCACGCTAAGACCCATCATCAGATCTTGATGATTACAGGAACTTCAGGAAGTCTACAATTTCGAACAAAAAAAAAGAAAAAAGAATTATCAGAATCGGTTCAAGCATGTTCGAGAAATCGGTGAACATACATAAATAACAAAAAATATGGTCGAATTGATAGCTTCCTCTTTTGAAGTCGGTTAAAAAGCGTGATTTTAGTACCTTAAATAGCTCCTTAACATTCTACAAAAATATTTTCACTTTATACGTAAATGAAGAGGTGGGTACAATTTAGCATAATGCCAAAGTAACTATTCCACGCGGACGAAGTCACGGGCAAAAGCTAGTACACTATAAATGTTAAGAAAAAAAAAACAATGAAACTTACGTATTAAAAACCACATCGCGCTAGCTCTTCTCGCAAATATATCGTTAATACTGTTGACAAGGAACAGCGAAGAGAAACGAACTCTTCATTATAGTTTAGCGACATCACAGTAACTACACTACATTTATACGTATAATATAATGTTTTAGAGGAATTTTGTGTAACAAAGTAATAAAAATATGAAGTCCAAAGAATCGTTGACAATGAAAAACCGTCATCACGCAGACTATACATTAGACACTGTATAGCCATCATACTAAGACTAGACATAAATAATAAAAATCTTACGTTACGGAAGTTTTTTCCCGGTTAGGGTACCCCTCGGCATCGTCCTATAAGGAACTTCGTTCCAAAAACTACAGTTATCATATTGCTATACATACGCCAAATGATGATCAACATTGAAAATAATAAGGGTTAAAGTATGAAATTGCCGTTTTATTGTAGTAGGTACTTTGAATTGACATAGAGCCATCATGGTTTGAGATTTTTGAGTGAAACTTTTACTTATGAGGTTCTTCTTTTAAAAAGTGTGCAACATGCGATTATCGACTTTTAGTTGCTTTTTTTTATTCAACTTCTTCATCGAAATGAAGGAATATTGAATCGAATTGTGACATGTGATAAAAAGTGGATTCATTACGATAACCGTAAGCGAAAAATGCAATGGCTGACCCCAGGTCAAACGCCGCAAGTGTCCTAAAGCAAAGTTTACCAATAAAAAGGCAATGGTAACTGTTTGGTGGTCTCAGCATTGTGTTATTCACTATATATTTCTCCGATCTGGTCAAGCAATTCCTCCTTCGTCGTGGAAGTCAATCGTGAACATTTGTTAAGTACGTATTTCATTAGATAAAATTGGTACCCGTCTGCGGGATTCGAACACCGGTCCATCACAAATTACGAATGTACCGGACGTCTTATCCTTTAGGCCGCGACGACTTCAATCATGTGAATATGGCGGTATTCAAATCCCGCAAGTAATAAGGACCTACATTGTTAAATTAAATTCCCGATTTTTATATAGGTGTGTCATTAATGATGGTGAGGTTAGTTGTGGGCGCACACAGACAGATACCGTCATCGCGTCTATCTCTACATCGAAATTAAAGTAATTTATTTCAGCAATGGAATGAATTTTAAGGACTGACAAATTAGGTCAGAATTACCAGTCGATGGGGAACAACAAAGGAATGGCTTTCTATAGGTCAGGAAATACTGCTTAGTAGACGAACATCCTAATGTTATTGTTTTGAACTGATAGCACAACTAAACTTTTCATCCAATAAGTTCCATTCTATGATAGCTGCAACAATAATAATTTCAGACAGTGAAGAGACAAGATAATATGAATGCCATATTATAAATATTACTGACCCGTAATATCACTGAAGTATCTCTATACTGTGTCACAAGCTGAAATAAATTGATCATTGAGACATTTGAATTGGTATGTTAACGGTTACCGATGTCCCAATTGATTGAATAGCACTTTAAACAAGTACACAGACTTTATTTATGGCCAGAAATGTTCATAAGCACACTCTAATTGTATTTCCAGAATAATCCAGAATAACATTACGTAGTATATTAAATCAATCTATTTGCCTACTAAAACTACAAAAGACCCTTTTAGTGACACTGGAAACCTTAGTTTATAGTTATTGTTTTCCTATCAGTGAATCAATGTATTTTCCTCCTGGAAAGAGAAAGATCAAACTCAAGTTCCGAAGATGATCTGAATAGTTTTTTTTTAAGTTTTCAATTCCTAACCCTCTAAGGCCTAATGAAATAACTTATAGACTAATCACATTCAAGTAACACTCTCTTTTGACTCTAGTAACTTTGAGATGTTCTTTACTTTAACAAAACTACAGACTAATAAAAACTACCGTCTCATTAACAAACAAAAATTGAAGCAACACACAGGCAGGAAGAACTTTTATTATCTTTTACATTTATTATCTTTTATATTATTATCTTTAACTTGGTTGAAAATATGTAACTTTTCAGATAACTCTTTTCAGTTTATGAATTTATTATTAATGGCAATTTGAAACAATCTTTTATTCATTTTATGTTTCGTGTAGATGATGTAAATTACTTTTTACCAGTTTTAGTTTTTACCAGTAACAGTATGCAGGTGGGAGCCCTTGGTAAGTCTTATTAGGGTGAACCTAAAAAACATTGCACGTGGAAAATATGTTACTATTCTTTTTTTGCTTTACAGCCAATAAACACAGCCCAACTAGCGTTTACCAGACCTCAATGTGAATACTGCCCAATCAAACTGAAACATGAGATCCAAGTTTCCAATTATATTAAGTAACAGCTATCTCATTTTTCAAGCATAACAAATACTGGCAAAGTATAATATACTATCACTATTATTTATTAAAATTTATAGATAGCATAGATTCCCTTCATTTTTCATTCCTTCCTTTTTCTGATAAAATTTGGGTTAAGGCTGAATACCACATAAAGACTAATTTTAATTTATTATATTACAGGAATATTAATGAATGTTATGTATATATTTTAGGGCTTATAGCACAACGGCACAACAGAATGACTTGTTCTATATGTATTCATGGTCTTTAAGAACAGCAAAATTAAATTGATTTGCGTTGATTCAAAAAGCCATTGGCACTTCATGTACACTGTGATCAAAATTAACAGCTTGATCAGCTACTTGTATTATATCATTGAAGTAAAAAATATTTAAGTCCAGTGTGTTGTCTATGTTCACTTACTTTTTTTTTTTATTAGGACACTAATAATAATTGTGTTCTTGAATAAATAAGTTTACAATTTCTAGATAGCTTTTAAGCACTTACATTTATTATGAAGATTAATAGAAAAGCAACTAATAATATAATGAATATCCATATTTATATTTTATAAGACAAATCTTTATGAAGCCATTAATATAAAATTATTACTGAATTTTACGGTAGATATTCTCAAATTTTAGATTAATATTAATACAATATTAAACTCAAACAAAGTATTTTTTGTAATCTAGATTTGTCAAAGGTAATAAAACATGTTACAAAATGTATTCTAACCAATTTAACTTAATAACTAAAGCGTATTCTCCATGACGTGGCTTAAATTTTACCTTGAATTAATGCTCTGATGCAAAATTTCAAATCTGAAATAACATTCTATACACGAGGTAGATGACGCAACTCCAAATTTGAAATAATAAATTAAATACTCACCATTTTCAAAAGATCTCCTCACCGAAGAGTCTCGGTCACCAAATTCACGTATACTTTCATAGTTTCTACCTACATTTTCAGCAGGATAAGACATTTTTCAGTGCCGGACTTTAAAGCATTAACCTAATCTTCAGGAATTATTTCAGCATTTATTTAAGAATTATAATTTAACTCCGTCCCAATTTTACACTTTAAAATTAATTTCAATTACAATGTCTTAATTTTTAATTAATTAAACACAAATTTAATGCACATATTTGCTTTGCACATGTTTGAATTATTTATATTCAAGCGGAATTTTATCAGTAGTTCCGTACCTACTATCAAAATGAACTTGAGCAAAGTGACAGCTGACGTTTATATAAACGTTATTGAATATAGCAGTCAGTGAAGTATGGCTTTTGAGCGGGAGTATGAAATTTACATTTATTTGGATTTAGAAACTATCTTAATATTATATTACTATGTACCAATAACAATACCATTAACGTAACCTTAAATACTACACAAGTCAACATTGAAAAACATTGGAATACGATTTCTCGAATGGTTTGAATTTTGAGTAATCAGTTTATAGGCTCTCCAAATTTTAGACAAGTAAGCTCTTCTTGAATTTTCAAAAGTCCATGGACATGTCTAGTTTTTTTGACGTCCTTCTATTGTATGTCTTTTAAATCACACCGTTTTTTTGAAGTTATACTTCTTTAGGCGGGTTATGAAAAATTTATGAGAGTGAAATTTTACGATGCGCGCGCACCGTGACATAAAATTAACAGAAATAAAGTTGCCCACTAAATCGCTCATTACAATACGACCGACGTAACTTGGCGAGTCTGAATATAGCCGCAGGTGAACTTTCGCGCATGTACACTCGTAAAAAAAAGTGTTATTAGCATTCATTTTTTAACGTTAAATAAATAAATACTTATTATTAAATTATTTAATATAAAAAAAGAAATAAATTTAATAAAAATAAAGTATAACTTCTTACGCACGTACATAAGTACACGCACCCTTTTTTATTGCCCCTGTAGGCAAACGAGCATACGTGATACGGCCCACCTGATGGTGAATGGTTACCGTCGCCCATGGACTTCAGCAATGCCAGGGGCAGAGCCAAGCCGCTGCCTACCGCTTAATACTCTCCACAAGCCTCTTTTGAAGAAGGACATGTCATAGCGCTCGGGAAACACCGTCGAGGGGAGCTCATTTACACCTCATTACATACTCCATTTACATCTGGTAGATAATGATTATTTTTCACGGGGTTTTAAGATCCCTGTGCTAAATTGATGGTTTTTTGAATCAATTAAAAGAAATATATAACAGGTATGTACATAGTTCTAAATGTTATATTTACGAAAAGTAAATGTTGCACTATCAATGTCCTTGAATTAAGATTTTTTCATAAGTTTCGAGTGCCGGAGCACTTACAGAACTAGACAGGGAGAAAGATCCCGATCGCACTCACACAGAGGTGATAAACTTGCACAAAGTCAAATTTAAGCTCTTAGCTCAGTGTTTGTCATGTGTCTGTGTCATTTCACTCGCGGTCGCAAGTGGGTGCTAAACCAGCGAATCAACTGTAAAATTGAGCAGAGCGGAGCGGATAGTGTATGCTAAATGTAAATTATACATACATTATACCTACATACTCGTCAAGTATTAAAATATTGATCATTGATTTCACCAAGAAGTGGTATAAAAGTTTTTTACTTCATGTACCTAATGGTTATTTTATTTGATGTGATGATTATAAAATGTACTTGAATTCCGTTTAAAATTACTACCACCTTCCCTTAGTGTATTAATAATAAAAAATTTCACCCGTACATCATAAATAGAGGTATATTACAATGACAAAACGAAAGCAGATTAAATAGGGGAAATAAAATGTTTTCGTAAATAAATAAAAAAAGGTATGAATAAATAACCTATTTATGTCATAGCAAGATCTATTTTACATAAATTAATTTAATTTAATTCTAGAACACTCCACCGTTTTACTCCGACATTCCGACTGGTGGACATTATTGTGAGTGGCCTACATTATTAAAATTCATACAGCGGTAGAGTAACGACCCGATTCTGAAAAAGCATAAACTAGAACACTAACCTAAACAAAAATAGCTTCAATTTACTAATTAGTTTCATTTTTCAATATTAGTAGTATCAAATTTTGCGAACTGGCTCTAAAAGGAGCTGTGTGCTTAGTGCGAGTTTTTAACGGCTAACGTAGGCAAGTGTTCCAACTCTATACAAATTTGAGTTAGCTTTTACGTTATCGAGAACGTTAAAAAATTCGCACTAAGCACACTGGTGTCGGTGACCGTTATGTACGTTGTGGCGTTCCCGGATCACATAATATATCGTGATAAAAGCTATGCTACGTTATGCTACACAAGCTATAAAATATATTTTAAGTGAAACTTCATTAAAGTCCGTTCCGCTGTTTTCATTACATGATATACTTCTTCTTAGTCCGTAGCGCTGTTGACAGAGCGGTTGTAGTCATTGCTTCAGGCTTCATAACACACCGTCACTCCTCTCTAACATTGAATATTTTAAAAGTGTTAACAAATACAATCTTTTTTTCTTCTTCAAAAACATAATAATAACTATTCAGGCAAAAGTCACACGCGGTTCATATGACCCCAAACTAATTCCCTGTATTTTTGGAACCAAATACTGATATAGGTACATACTTAATTATATGCTTTTGGATATTAAACACCCGGAGACAAGAGCAAGCAAACCTGTTCGTCATGCGAATATTTGCCCGAAGGGAGATTTGAACCTGCGGCCTTCAGCCCTGTTCTACATAGAGTCCCTAACCAACCCTAGTCACAGGTCCTAACTCCTGCACCACCGAATGAATTTAACGAACTTTCCATGATCACACTTCGATACCTATTACACACAAATTACTGAAAAGCAAAATGAAATGACTATTTTAAGTTTAGCATTTAGTTCAGGGACTGAATGTCGGTGGTTAAATTAGGACAAGGTCGTTCAGTGAACCGGACCCCGAATGTGGTAGGTACAGGCGTTCGCATTCCCCAAATAGACCTGCATCTGCCAAACTAGGTCAACTGCATGGACTTGGAATGCTATCGTGTAAACTTTCATACAATTTGTCAAGTACATAAAATATTATAAATGTTGACCGGCCTTTATCTTGTATTCTGAATGACAAAGTCGATCTCTCTTTCTCTCAAGATTGAGAGATTGAGAAGAAAATTAAGAGAATTGAGAGATGCGTGTGAAATTTACGGCAACCTCCTCTTTAATCTATTGAATGTTACATAAATCTTAACACAAATTTTAATAAGAAATCGATACATTTTAATAAGATTTACATCACGTGATCAAAGAGAATATTACTGTCGAAGTAAAAACTTAGAGATCGGTTGTCGGCTGATGCGATCTACAATATCTGATTTTAATCTAATTTTAATTTAATTTTAACAGTCGTCGTGGCCTTAAGGATAAGACGTCCGGTGCATTCGTGTTGAGCGATGCACCGGTGTTCGAGTCCCGGAGCGGGGTGTCAATTTTTATATCGAAATACGTACTCAACGAATGTTCACGATTGACTTCAATGGTGAAGGAACAACATCGTGTAATAAAAATCAAAACCTGCAAAATTATAATTTGCGTAATTACTGGTGGTTGGACCACTTGTGAGTCCGCGCTGGTAGGTACCACCACCCTGCCTATTTCTGCCTTGAAGCAGTAATGCGTTTCGATTTGAAGGGTGGAGCAGTCGTTGTAGCTATACTGAGACCTTGGAACTTATATCTCAAGGTGGGTGGCGCATTTACGTTATAGATGTCTATGGGCTCTAGTTACCACTTAGCACTAGGTGGACTGTGAGCTCGTCCACCCATATAAGAAATAAAAGAAATTTAAAAAAAGGTACGGAAATGAAGGAAGCTGTGTTTGTATCAATAATATGACACTTAACAATAATGTTACCTATACTTTTAACTAACATACTTCTTGTTCCATTTTACCACTTTAGAAAGTAGACAGGACGACTGATATAGTCACAGAGGCACATGAACAGCAACAATGCCGGGCCAGGCCAACGCCTGCCGCAGAGGGTTCTTCAAAAGATATCCCATTTTTTTATTTCAATGACTTAAAAATCACTGCGTTATTAACAGTTAAAATTCAAATCAAATCCAATACAATTAAAATAGGCCGGCTTTTTTTATGATTGAAAGATTACTGGTGGCCCAGAGGCCTTTCCAGCTTCACCAGGACAGGTGCGCGAGCAAAGGTTCAGCCAGGAGGGGTGGGATTTGCTAACAACTGCCCAAGTGCCTCCGAAGGAGACCTAACAACTCAAGAGCAATTGCTCCGCGAATGAATCTACCACCGGATCGGAATTGCGACCCACTGAGAAGATCCGGCGAGAAACTCAGCGGGCTGATGCATGGGTTAGGTTGCACGTCGACCTCTTTGTCGAGTTCGACGAGTACGGTTACCGGGGTTCCTCAGCCTGCTCCTAGTGTTAGAGCTGAAGGTATCTAATGCAAGAGTTATTGGATCTGATGGATCCGTAAGGACGTGTCTAGGGCGAAGACGGTGACTTGCTCCTGCGTGATCAGGATTCGGGGAGTGATCAGCGGCGGCAACGATATGGCGATTATCATGACGCATAGCCTTATCGAAGTAACGTTCCGACACTGACTTCATGTGTTTGCGGATCGATTTGAGGCCCAGGTCATCGTGTAGGTCAACGTTCCTCACGAACCACGGAGCCCCGACGGCTAACCTGTAGGCCGGCTATCCGACTACGCGTAGCTGGAATAGCGGCTTAGGTAGGAAAAAAAAACGCTTCGCACATCTAATCAACCACCACCAATTTCTGAAAAAATGATTCTCATGCACCTGATAGTTGTCTAACAAACACTAAATACACCATAACGGGTCAAATGACCCATTTTGGACTTATGCATTGAAAATGCACGTATCATCTTATTTATTGCCTGTGCACATTTGATTTCATAACTTTTTCTTACCAATTAATCTACAGTTATTATTCCTTTTTTTTGTTTTGTTTTGTTTATTTTGTGTAATAAGTGTCGTCTACCTTTATTTACCCGCTATTGTAGAAATAGGTACCAGTAAGTATTGATATGATTAGTGCTAGAAGAGGTCGCTCTAAACGAGAAGACCACATAATTTACTTATTTATTTAATGTTTTGTGTTTGTGTTTATTTTATATTGGCGTACAACTCATTTTTCGACAATACGGTTACCTATTCGTGTTCACTTTAA